CGACGATAAAATCAAGATGAACATGAGTTCCAAACAAAGATTACATGAAGTTCTTTAGCATTCCAATTATGATTTGGATAGAGAAAACAACATAATGGGATTTGATCACGTTTTTTCCACATGCCTCAATCACTTGTTTATGCATCTGTTCAAGCGTTTGTGTCAATTGATTGTACATCTTTTCACAAAACAACTACTTGAAGTAGAAATTACTTCACAAAAAAACTACTTCAAATTTTCATCTACACCATCACACAAAAATTACAATTAAATACAAAATTAAATCAAGAGAAATATTGGAATCAAATATAAAATAAGAGTTTCATAAGGATACAAGCCTGTAATGTGATTGAATACACTACCTTGGGCCATATCCTTAGACAAAAACTGTATATAGATTCCAAATCAACCAACAGAACTTTTTTTTTGTTTGGGTACAGAGAAGAAAACTGAAGATAATTTTTTCTATTCAACATAAGTAATACAAATAAACTAAAACCGTAGGCCAAAGTATATTTTATGTAATGTAATAGAGAAGGTCTAAAGACTAAGAAAGTTATCAATAAACTCATGCTTAACTTAGCACAAACTACCCCAAAAAAAATTAACAAATGCCTTCATGAAAAATTAAATACTAAGGATGGCTAGGAGATACCTTCATTTGAATTGAATCCTTTTTTCTGAGAGTTTTCAGTATTTAATCTAGCATCATAAGTTAGCTGTTCAAAACAGAACTTGGAAGTGACTTTCAGTGCTCCTAGTCGGCTAATGATTTTCCTGAGATATTTCACTCTCTTCTTCACTATCACTCATAAAATCTTGAGGAATAACACCATTCAAGAAATAGGTCTGCAATATAGAAACAGTTTTATCCCTTATCTCAAGCCAGACTTCTTCAGTGTAATAAGCACTACACGAGAGTATTAAAACAGCTGGCATCCCAACACCTGAAATCAATTCAATGATGAAAATCACAAACCTTCATTAGAAATATATGTGAATGTTGATTTTTCATAAAACATATGTAAACTGGAAATGAACTACTAATTTTACATAGAATTTCTGTAAATTTGAAGTTGACCCAATCTGTTCAAAGCCTATTAGAAGAAAATACATTTAAACAACTAATAAGTAAAAAGTATTTACTTTTCAGACTTTGCTTTAAGCCACTTTATAAATCTCAGAATCCCAAGAAATACGCCTAACTGAATCAACACGCTTCCAAAACCACATTGGTAATTGGGTGGTCTGTACCTTTTTTCGCTTTTGTAACCTTAAGAGTCTCAACAATCAAGCCTTCAACAAACTCAGGAGTACCATTGTTCGTCTTTAATGAAATGCATCTTTCTTCTCTTCACCCCTAACAAACAAATCCAAATAATAAAAAAGAATCGATATTACAAATTAATTTAACCCAACAAATTGCAAACCCAACAAATTAATTCACCGATATTGTTCCTCTTTTGTTCTTCTATATTTATTTATTTTTTCTCAATTTCCAGTGAATAAGTAAGGAAATGAATGAGTAGCAAGCCAAAGAGCAAGAACATAACGGTAGCATATTCCAGACCAAGGCAAAAACCAAAGTTTCAAACTACCTGGACGCTCAGTTGTAATCAAGAGAGCAACAAAATCTATGTTGCAGAAGAACAGAAAGTCAAGTAACAATTGAAAGTTGCAGTTTTGAAATACAGAAAGTAGAATTGCTTTTGTAATTCCTAAAGAAAGGCTCCCAGCTCTATCTAATCAGTCTCTACCATGTCGAGAAGTTCTAAATTATGGATTTTAGGGAAACTAAGCTCTCAACATGCATAATCACACCTCCAAATTATAAACCCTCTTCATGACTGCAAGTAAAAAGCATCAACAGAGATAGAAAATTATCAAAGAAAAGACATTAATTTGCAGGAGAAAAAATTCTTCCATCCAAGAGCGGCATCATAGGAAAAAAGCCATTAAATCTAATTACTCTCAAATATCAAAAAATATGGCCAAATATTATCACGCATGAAGAAAGCCGTCAAACCTTGTATCTGAATTCAAACCTTGTTTACGGTTCCCGTAGCTTCTGGTTTCACCTCCTATAAATTAGTTTGACAACAAAGCTTTCATGTTTGGAATTGGCCGTTGATGAAGCTTGGAATTTCAGATTCAGCCGTCGATGTTTTTTTTGACTACCGCGATTTAATAATTTCCTAATTCAGTTGATCTGAGAAGAGAAGAATCCGTGCAAATGATAAACTACCAAGAAGAAAATAATTTGGTCAATTAGATGGATCGATTTGTGGGATTACAGTTCGAATTTGAGGATTTCATGAATCAAGAAGATACGGATTACAGGGAATGCGTATTTAACTCCCAGATCTTAGGGAGGTTTTAATATTTTAAAATTTAAAATTTAAGCTAACTCTGTGTTGTTTGCTGACATTGTGGAGTAATTATTATCTGATATTCCATATTATCTTTTTCTTATCTATTTAAATTTAAACTGCCTATTGTTTTTTTTCTTTTCGTAATTAGAAGTAAAGTTTGGGTTCTTTTAAGGCTTCATTTTTTTTTCTGAAATTTTAGAGTGCCACGTGTCAGTTTTCATTTTGTACTAAAAAAGTTATTTGGCGGAAAAATTTTCACTGTGAAATTGACACGTATTCTTTTTGTTTGCTGCTTTAATTAAGTACTATGGATATGGATGTATTAGGTGAATCTAGGAGAGTAGAGTGGCCGGGCTTAGAAAGTAGAAGCTATTGAGCTACAGATCCCAGGTTAGATTATATGCCACTATTATTTTGAGCCATAAAATATGCAACAGATTAGGAGATTAATTAGAAACAACAAAAACACCAGTAACTTACGAGTAGCCGAGTAGAGCAAAGATTTACAAAAAATAAATAAATAAAGATTGGGATCGTGATCCGATCATGTGATGGTCATACCCTCAATTTGAATATGACAAATGGTCACGATTGATCAATAGGGCAATTAGCCATTTAAAAAACTCTAAAGTGGCCGCCAAAAAAAGTTAAAAAATAAATTGGTCAAACCAATACTAGATTAAAATTCAATCCTTTAAATGCTGCTGTCCTGATCTTTTTATTAAAAAGTTAGAGAATGACAAAACTTTGTTCCTATTTTTATCATCATACTCATAAAAAAAAAAAAAAAAAGACCTGGAGGAGGAGAGGACCGTTGCTTTTTGTAACTGGTGATTTTTAAAAAAATTTTATTGTTTTATTGATTCATGAACACTTTAATCACTGGACCAAAATGATTTCTTCCTGATCTTACCGTACTTGAGAATTAAGATTATGGTTTCATTTTAAATCATATGTAGTGGGCGATTAGCTTCATTTGTATTCATATAACAGAGAATTCATCATCAGTAACTGTGATTAGTCTCTCAACTCTCAACCATATCGTATCGATTAGTCTTAATCGCCCGCGGTTGGAAAAAACCATGGAAAAAGGAACCAAACAGTTCATATTTTCTCTCGATTTTTTTTTCCATATTATTTCGTGCTCTATAGCCGTTTGGATCAGGCTCTTGTTTACGTTGTACATTGACTCATTGAGTTTTGGGGCCCTAGCTCTTTAATGGTAAACGGGTCGACTAGTTTAATGGCCTTAAGTGGATAAGCCCAGACTCAGGGATTTATCATTTATGAATTATGATCATTATTATTATTATTATTCATTTGTGTTTTTTTTTTGTTTATAAAATTATAAAAACTCAATGATTTTTTGGCTCACTGTTGTTAAATTATATATTACCAAAAAAAAAAAAGAAACCTAGTCCAGCTACTGATTTTATTTTATTGGACAAGCTGCTGATGTTAGGCCATTTGAATTAGCACAAATGTTGTGGCTACAGCTCACGAACCAAAATTTTGAGATTGCATTGAAAATGTTTTTCTTTTTTTTATACACAAAAATTATAAAGAAACACCGTAATAAAGAAACACCGTAATTTTAAATTTGATCCCATTAATAATAGTTAAACTCTATTAAACTTTGTCACTCCCTCCATCCAAAAAAATAATCTAAATTTAATTTTGAGATTTGTACTAAAAATAGTATAATTTAAAAACTCAATATGTAATTTTTTTTTTGGACAGAAGTAGTAATATTTAACGAGTATAAACCACTCATTTCTCTACCGAACACATTTTACACCCATTGTGTATTTCCCGTGCAACGGACGGGCTAAACACTAGTTGTATATAAAATAAAAATTATTTTACTTCAAAATTGTGCCCAAAACTTGGAGTTTCATTGGAAATATTCTTTTGCTTGGATTTTAAATACAAGTCATACACACCCTAGATTCTAAAATTCTGAAGTTTCCAACCATATAGATAAACTTGGATGTCAGAAATATTATTAAAAGGAAAGCATTCTTTCTGCACAAAATCTTCAAATGTTCTTGGCTTCTTGCGAAGCATGGCTTCATTGTAAATTTGTAAATACGTATATTATCTAATAATCCCTAAATTTTGTTTTTCAATTTCAAGAAAAGCCAACAAGCCAAGGTATGGATTTTGGTCTTAATCAATAACCATTTTCAGTTTTGGACATTTTTTTTGGTCCTCACACATCTGTAAAACCGACAACCCAAAGTACAACAATTTTGGACAGGGGCGAATCAATATGCCAAAATTATGTTTGAATTTCTTTGTCAAATCAAAACTTTGAATTGTAACATCCAAATGACAGTAGCATATAACTCTTATGGTTGGTGGGGGCTAAATTATTAATATATTTTTTCCCCTCTTTTTTGAGTAGATTCTGAAGGCAACAAAATGTCAAAATGGAAGCGCATAATTTAGCTTACTTAGCAAAGCTTTGGACACTAGCAAATGTAGCCGGCTGTTGATGTTGCCTTTTTGCCTTTCTGGTAAATACTACAGCACTACCTGATCCAAATAACGCTGATATTAGACGGCTCATAATCATATACAATCGGCTCAATTTTGACGTTTTTCATTGCATCATTTCTCATAATGCGACATTAGTCATCATCTTAACCATTTGACTATTCTTAATAATGCTTTCAATTCCCAGCTGACACTTTACAGCAATCTTCCAGGAAAGCTTTCTGATCACATTCACAGGAATGCGCTGGAAATTTTCTTTGTAAAAAATGATGATTCATTTCTTGTTTGTGATTTTCATAAGCATAGGATTAAGCTCGGGTGCTGATCAGTACTATGATGGAACATCATGTTATTCAGCTGATAATGTTCAAGGTACGAGGTACTCCTGCGATTCTCTCTCGCCTTCAAAATGCTGGACTTTCTTGGTTTACCGGGCGAATGACAGGTTCAATACCATCGCGAAAATATCAACCCTCTTTAATGTGACATCGGAGGAATTGCTTGGAAAGAACAGTAATGTTACATCTTCTTCTGAGGTTCTCAATCCGGGGAGGGAGGTCGTCGTTCCAATTACCTGTTCGTGTGTGGATCGCTTTTACAAGGCGAATTTGAGCTACATTTTCGCAGGGAGCATGACATTGTCAAATGTTGCCTGTGAATTGTTCGAAGGACTTGTTAAATCTGTGGTTTTGGAAGAACAAAACAGTGTTTTTTCCTCCAATTCGAGTTTCCAGGTTGGTTCCACTATTCAGGTTCCCCTGAAATGTGCCTGTCCTGATAAAAATTCTACTAACGCAGGGGTGGAATTTCTTGTTACTTATCCCCTTATTCGGAATGATGATCCAAATGTAATTTGCGAAAGGTTCAACATTTCTGTTTCTAATCTGCTGGATGTTAATCATCTAGATGCTTTTGCTACAGTTTATCCTAACACAACTGTTCTTGTGCCCCTGAAATCAGAACCCAAAATCAATTTTGATTTTCCAGGTTCTTCACCTCCTAGCAATTCTCCAGGTTTTATTCCCATAGAGCCTGTTGAAAAGTCTAGAAAAAGCACACAACTTCAGAAAGTGTACATTTCAGTTTCAGTTGTTGGATTTTTCCTGGTTCTTGTTACTATGGTTGCTTGTGGTCTATATGTTAAGACCTTGAGGAAATGCAAGGCTGAGGAGAAATCGCATACCCTGACACGAAAAAGCTCGTTAACATCATGTTCAACGCCGCGAAGTTCTCAATTGTCCGGTCCAACGCCACCTAAAAGCTCCACAGCTTCATGCCTGTCACCTGATTTGCTGGAAGGCATCAAGTACTTGTTGGGGAACTATACTGTGGAAGAGATGAAGAAAGCCACAAACGACTTCAGCGAAGAAAGTCGAATCATGGACGATGATATCTACAAAGGGTTCATGGATGATGCTGAAATACTCATCAAACAAACAAGATTTGAGGACACCAAGCAAGTTATCGATGTCCACTCGAAAATCAACCACGTTCACATAGTGAAACTCCTTGGAGTTTGCTATGGCGACGACGATAACTTCTCGTGGTGTTATCTTGTCTTCGATTACCCTAGTAATGGTAGCTTAAGAGGGTGTTTATCAAGTTCAAATCCATCTCTAAGGTGGCGACGCCGAACCCATATAGCTTTTGATGTCGCAACTGGGCTACATTACTTACATTACTGTGTAGTTCCTCCTTACACACACAAGAATGTGAGTTCAAAAACCATATTTCTGACAAGAAACTGGAGGGCTAAAGTAGCAGTTTTTGAGGCTATGTCAATAGCTGGAACTGGAACCTCAAAAGACCATGAGAATATAAGTCATTCAGATCATTTTGCTCATGCAATAACATCTGATCAGAAAGAAGATATATATGCTTTTGGGGTGGTTTTGTTGGAACTAATATCAGGCAAGAGGAATTTGGAAGAGAAACCATTGATAGAATCAGTTGCATTTTTGGGAGGGGGAGCTAGTAGTAGTAGTGATAATCAAGCTGGAGGTTGTTTTGATCAGTTAAAGAACTTTGTGGATCCTAGTCTAAAAGATGATTATCCTCTGGCTGAAGCCTTGTGCCTTGCAGTATTGGCTAAAGCTTGTACTGAGGATGATCCATTTCACAGACCATCCATGGATGATATACTCAAGGTTCTTGGCAGAATGGTGTAACAATTTTTCTACAACCTTTAATTAGGAAAGAATACTTAGTTGTTTGAGTTGCTAAAATTTTAAGATCCTTCCAATTTGATCAGTTTTGATAATGTTATGTGTAAATTGCTATACTCAATTGCATTGCTCAATAATGGAGAAGCAATGAGATATTTGAGGACAGATTTCTTCTAAAGATGTTGTTTGTAACGTTATTCAAATCTTCTTCTAACAAAAGGTTAGATTCAGGAAAAGTTGGCCGATTTACCCGAATCTTTACATACATTATCAATTCAATCTTATTCTTTTTCAGTTAGCCAATATTACCCTAAACTATCGAGCTGTTAGTCAATTTTGTCCAATTTGCCAATTTCCGTTTAAATTAACGAAATTCTATTAGTTTTAATTATAAAAACACCCTAATAGTTTTAAAAATTATAAAAATGAACCCCAAAAATTGTAAAAAATAACAAAACAGTGTCTTTTCACTTTTTATTTAATTTTTTATTTTTTCTATTTCTTTTTACTATTTTTCATAACTATAAAAATATACTATATGATCTTTTAAACAAAGAATTTATTTTTAAATACTACTGTACAAATTTATATATATATATACATATTTGTAACTCATGGTTGATTTACATAAACATATTAATTTTTTTTAATAATATGACTAGACAATAATGATATTATTTTTTTAATCAATTTTTTTCAATTTAAAGGATGAGATTTTTGTTTTACTAAAACTAATTTTTTACAAAAAAAATTAAAAAATTTAGTATAGATTAAAAAATAATATATTAGTATATTTTAATTTATTATAAATTAACTAAACAGACTATAGATTGTATTATCTAATTAAAAAATAATTAAACTAAAATATTGGGTGCAATCTAGTGTTTAGGGTATTGAGTTTCATGAGAGTAGATATAAGATTAATTCTCATCAGAGAATTTCTAATTGGGAGAGTGATTTTATCCACATTTAAGCGGAATCCACTAAAAGTAAGAGGGTTAAGTTAGATGATCAGGTGATTTAAGATGTGAAATGATTATTACTGTGTTCGAAGTCTCGATTTTCACTGGGCAAATCTATTTTTTCTTTAAAAAAAAAGGTGGGGTCCAGTACTGGAGTAAATTTTCTTTATTATTTTTTTTAAAAAAATACTTCATGCTAAAGTTAAATATATTAATATCTCAAAAAATTATCACAAAATGTTAAACCCTTGCAATGATAAATATACATATTTTTTATAAAATATTTTGTATCATTTTTGTAAATGTCACAACACTATATTCTTGTGTTGGGCCAACGTAAAAACGAAATAGGTGTTTTTTTTTTTTACTTTCTGTTCATAATTGGGCTTTTAAATTTTATAATACAATCTAAAATCTGTTGAATTAAATTGAAAATACATTAAAGTATACCAATAAATTCTTTTTGAATCTATGCTAATTGTTTATTTTTTTTGTGAAAAATTAGTTTTAGTTAAATAATCATATCTTTAGATTGAAAAAATAGATTCAAAAAATAGTATTATTACTGTTAAACTATATTATTAAAAAGTTAATATGTTTATGTAAACCAAACATGACTTACAAATATGTAAATATAAATTTGTACATTAGAGTTTAAAAATAAATATTTTTTAAAAAAAGATCATATAGTATATTTTTATAGTTATGAAAGATAGTAAAAAGAAATGAAAAACAGAAAAAATTAAATAAAAACTGAAAAAGGATTGTTTTGTTATTTTTACAAAATTTTAAGGTCATTTTTATAAATTTTAAAACTATTAGTGTGTTTTTATAATTAAAAAAAATAAAATTCCGTTAATTTAAATAGAAATTAGCAAATTAGACAAAATCGGCTAACAATTGGATAATTTAGGGTAATATTGGCTAATCGAAAAATAATAAGATAGCATTGACAACGCATGTAAAGTTTTGGATTATTTGGCCAATTTTTCCGTTGATTCATCCACTTCGTCAGAGTCGTCAGAAGACTTGATGCATCTTCTGCATCAGAGTAATCAAAAGCTCTCTCATTTTGACCTATGCATTCTTTTTCGTCATCATCTTGTGAAGCAACATACAAAGTATCAACTGTAAAACTATATCTTGAAAACCGAACCGAAAGGTGAACGAGTAAATTAACTGGTTCATTAGTTCACTCGTTCAACTGGTTTTAATCGGTCTTAAAAACCGGTCAAAACTAGATATAAAAAATATTTTAAAAAGAATTTATTTTCAAAATTTCAAAAAATCGATCCAACCGGTACCGGTTCTGATCAAACAACGGTTTTGTCCGAGTTTGACCAAGTTTGATCGATTTTTAAGTTCGCCAGTTATTAGCCCAAACTGGACTAGGGAGGCCTGCGATACGCGATTGAACCGATTCGACCTCTCTGTCCGGTCCGTTTTTCAAAACATATCTGTAAGATGCTAATAAAATTATTCAGCAGGAAAGGATAGAGTAATTTCTTCACAACATCAATTCATTAGAAATCAATTCAAAGAAGAAAATAAAAATAAAAATTATTAGAGTTAGAATTTCCAATTTTATCTAAAAATAATTAATTTCCAAAAGAAAAAGAAGAAGATAAACAAAGAATATTATTAGGTACCTTCATGAGTTTGGATTGGGAGGTCACATAATATAGAGAGCAAATGCTCAAAAAATATACTCATTCTGTCCTAAAATTATCGTTCAGTTTGAGATTTCATTTTTAGTACAATTTGAACTTGAAATGAAAACTCAAATTGGACAATAATTATGAGACGGAAGGAGTAAAAAAGGGGGTGACAAAACTATCATTACTGAAAAATTTTATATTGGCATTACAAAACTCTTAACTATTCTTTGTAACTTGTAAGTGATGGAATGATTCCTCAAATTCTCATTAATAAAATAATTAAATTCAAAAAAGGGAAAAAGGGAAGAAGAAAAGACAAAATAAATTTAAGGAATTTAAATCTTTGCAATTGTTTTGTGAACGATAAAATATAATAACAATAATAAATAATAGTATTTTATAATCAAGAACCACGCAATCATAACTTTTACGTATTTTCATTCCCTTTGCCTCATTTTATTTTTCACGAAACATCAAATTTCAAACTAAAAATAGTGACAATCAAAGTTTATGTGTAAAAAAAAAAAAAAAAACCCAAAAGTAAATACAGGAAGAAGGACTACCAATTTCGAACTTGCATTTTCCAATTATAATATACTAGAGGGATTAAAAGCGCTTCGCGGATACTTTTTCATATTTTTTTAAAAAATGAATAATTTATTTTTTTTATTATAATAATCCTAACAAATGTCATTGTATTATTTATTATTACACTATTTACAAATAATATGTTAAGAAAAATATTATCCACTGCAGTATTTATAAATAATAAGTCTTAAAGAAACTTTAGAAAAAGAATTATGGGATAAGGACATAAACTTTCCCGAACTATGTCATATCCTTATTTCCCTCTCGAATTATTTGAAAAGGGAAAAGATCCCCTCTGACCACCATAACTGAAAGTCAATCGTCTAGAAATGTAAAATAAGTGAAAATCCATAGTGATTTGGGTGAAAACTTGAGCAATGAAATTAAAATAGGGTGCAATTACCAATTACCATTATATCCCTAACCTATCTTCTAATTTTCAAGTTCTACTATCTTTCTTCTTTCTCTTCCCAAAGTCGCCATCACCACCACCGAAAATCACCACTGCTTCTAATTTTGTTCTCTAAATGTAGATACCTCTTGAAAAAACACACTTTCACTCAAACTAGACTTCACTATACATTTATTCTCTACAAGAGCAAAATAAAAATATCCCTTCACCTCTTTTTATTTTTCAGCAATGATAAAACCAGTGAAAACTAATAGTGACTTATGTGTCTGACAAATTAAGGGTAGAATTATAATTTTCTAAAAGAAAGATATAATTTCTACGGGAAAATTGCTACAAAATAGGAGGCCAACACGGTCACTATTTATTTTTACTATATATAATTACTATACTTATCATTTTTCTTTATAAAAGTGTCAAAAGAATAATAATAAAAAAAAAACGCTAACGCACCATCTTATCAATGTCAATGAAAAGAAAAATCTCCAATGGAGATGATATACACCCAGACCAATTGAAGGAGCAAAATATATTAAATCACACAAGTAAAACTCTAAACAATTTCATCGAATGACTTTTAAAATTTGATTCATTGGCAAGGTTCCAAATCTAGGGATAAAAGGACATTAATTGTGGATTCGATTCCTTAAAACTATAAGCAAACAATCTTGATTTTTATGGTAACTGTTTGAAAATTTTTTAAATGTGCTAATCAAAGGAGAAGGTGGTAGCAACAACTTCAGATTTGCCGGCTAAAACGGGGATAAAAAGCCTAAAAATTAGATTTAAGAAGTTTTTGTTAATATAACCTTTAAAAGAAAATGAATTCTTTTAATAAAAATTACTAAGAATAAATTTATTTTATCATAAGAAAGGATAATTTTCTTATACATGTTTAAACTTTGACAATAGGGCATTTCTGTTTTTACGGTCATTTTTTTCTACTTCCGTCATCAAGTTTTGTCGTTTCTGCACGCCAAAAGACCAATTTGTCCGATGACCAGGTGGTCAAAGGGGTTTTTATTCTTGTAAGAAAACTCCGAAGGGGGAGTCGGAATATATGAGAAAGAAAAAAGTGCAACCAAAAAAGCTATATACTAACCAAAACCGAACAAGTCTTGTTTAAGTAAAATTTTCCTGATTCCTCAAATATATATATATATATATATATACATACATATGAAAAACATTCTAGGATTTTTATTATGAGCACAAATAAAATCACATATATAAAAGCTAACATATTAAAAAACAAGGTTTCTACAGTAGTAACAACAAAAATTTCAAAAATGAACCTGGAGAAAAAGGAGAAGAGAAATAAAAAATCATGTACATCAAATTGAGATGACAATATATGGAAATTTAAGGGCGATGAATGGCATAATAAAATTCAAAAAGAAAACGAAGTTGTTGTGCGTCATTCCCAAATGCATAAAACGTCTTCAATCTTTTCTTTTTTATATAAGGATAACTAGAATGTCCTTTTAATTATTAAGGGAAGGCGAAAATGTGGTTGAGTAGAGTGAATCCAAAATGTGGCAAGGAAGATGAAATGATACTTTTATTAAGTCGAGTGGTGAATGTCCACTTTTTTGAGGCAGAAAACTGAAAAATCAAAACTTATTACAAAATTGATTATATTGGGACAATTTGAACATTTTTTTAATTCTAAAGGAAGTCAAAAAGATGGTTAAGTAAAGTGGATTGTAGCCAGGAAGATAATGATATCTGATTGAATTCGGTAGTAAATATCCACTTTTTTAATGTAAAAAACTGAAAAGCCAAAAATCATTACAAAATTGAACAAATATTACATTTGAGAAACGCATGGAAAAAACTACCTAAACTCAAACAACATTTCCCAATTATAATATATGTTGATAATATTATCTATAAAAAAAAAAAAAGAAAAAGGACGAAGGCATACTGCCATAAACAACCGTTGAATTTTCAATGATTTCCTAGCTAGGAGTAGATGCAAAAAAAGACGAGTAGTGTAATTATGCATTTCCATTTCGTTGTAAATAATAGCTCATTATTCAGGTCGTAAAATAAAAACTCATGTTTATTTTACTAAATAGTTCAATGATATTTTATGTATTTATATATATATTTTTTGGTGAAGCACCATGTTTGATTTGCAAAATATTGAGCCTTCAACTAGTGCTAAAAGTTTGCGGCGAAATCCAAATTGACGAGAATGTGAGTGTAAACTTTTCCTTTTTAAAAACTTACAATAAAAAAATTACTAATTACACTCTTTTATTCCTAAAAAATCAAAAATTTCATTATTTAATTAATAATATTGTAAAAGAAGATGATATATTATGTATATGTGGGAAAAAAATTCAGGTCGGCTAATTTTGGGTATTTAATTGAGTGTCGTATGACGTGTAAGTTACAAAACTGTTTTTTCCCCCCCTTTTTGGGCATTCTTGAAGTAAGTAACCCCAAATCAAAAATAATATATAGTCGTTAACTGTTTCTTGGATTCACGCTCCAACGTCGGTTTTAATGGCGTCGAGTTCGACCTAACCTCGTTCACTGCCCCAAGTATGCATAGATGGGGTATGGATGCCGATGCTAGCCGTTAGAGTCGACGGCTCTATCTCAGACCCTGCTCGATGGCGACGTAACCATCAATGCCTTGCGGGAACTCCGGAATTTTGAGGCCGCAACTGAGGTGGTTCTTCAGAAAGACGAGTTAGTTGACGAAGAAGAGTTTGGACTTGTTTACTATGAATTTATGGAGACCTAAATCAAGAAATTCCAAGAAGATTGGAATAAGAGGTTCTTGGTACAATTGGTGCAAGACGTTGATTTCCTTGGACTGCTGATCCAGAGAGGCCTACAAGTTGAGATTGGAATAATAGTTGTTCGAGTTGCTAAATTTCCAATTTGATCAGTTTTAAAAATTGGTGTTTAAATTGCTATAGTCAATTGCATTGCTCATTACGGATAAGCGATGATATTTGAGGATAGATTTATTCTAAAGGTGTACTTCTTCTGATCTTTATTATAAGACATTTTGATTTGTTATAATTTTCACCTTGTATGTGTTTCTAATTAAAAAAAAATTAAAAATATTTCCTAATAATTAGAAGAATACAACGATGTGAAAATATATTTTTAATTTTTTTAATTAAAAAATATATTATGCAAAATTTTAAACAAATCAAAATGTTTTATAATACAGACAGGAATGAATAGTTTGTAACGTTATTCCCAAGCTGTCAAGTATCTAATCAAATTTCGATACTGTAAAAAGAATAGAGCAATAAACACCAAAGAATCTCATCAGTGAGTCAGCGATCACTCTTTGGATAACATACTGAATTCAAGCTAATAATTTAGAAATACCATATCTTTTTTTTTGTTTTTCTTGTTTGCAAGTTGAGAGATGGAGCATATGTGCACTACATGATATATTCTACACCTTCCAAGTACCCACATCATCAATGTCATTCTCCAACAATTTATTGGAGTAATTAGTAAAACGGCTTAAAATATCCATCTAACAAAAGTTGATTCATCGACCTATGTTTTGAAAATCGGTCCGCCCGAGAGGTCAAACCGGTTAGCTCGAAAAACGAAGACCTCATTATTTTGATTTCTTTAAAAAACCGAATTTATAAATATCCGGTCAAACTTGGTCAAATTTAGACAAATCGCGATTTGAACAGATACCGGTACCAATTAAATTGGTTCTTTATAAATATTTTTTAAAAATTAATTTTGTAATATTATTTTAACCGATTTCTATTGGTTTTGAGGACCGAGCGAACTGGTCAATCTGGTTAACTCACTAACCCGGTCATGTTAGTGGTTCACTTTCTAATCCAATTTTCAAAACATAGTCAGCAACTTTGTCAGAAAGACTTGATTCGTCAATTGCATTGGAGTTATCAGAAACTCTCTCATTTTGACCCTTCGATTCTTTTAAAATTGTCATCATCTTGTGAAGTAAGAAATAAAGTATATATCAACATGATTATTTAGTTTTGATAATATGATTACGAAGAACCTAAGGCTTTGTTTGGACAACTTCTTGTTTTGCCAATTGTAAATTTTTGTAATATACATATATATTATTCTATAATTCCTAAATTTTGTTCTTCAATTTCAAGAAAGCCAACAAAGTAATGGACTTTGTCTTAATTAATGTAATCAATTTCAATTTTGGACACTATGTTACAACCCATTTTTCTCACAAATCTGTAAAACCGACAACCCAATGTACAACAACTTTGGGGAGGACTCAGGAGCAGATCAATACGACCAAATTAATGTTTGCATCCTCAATAAGTTGCACATTTGGGAGGGGAGCTGGTAGTAGTGAGAATCAAGCTGGAGGTTTGTTTTGATCAGTTAAAGAACTTTGTGGATCCTTGTCTAAAAGACGGTCATCCTCTGGCTGAAGCCTTGTGTCTTGCTGTAAAGGCTAAAGCTTGTATCTGTGTCTCAAACTTATTAGCAGAATGGTGTAAAAATTTTTCTGTAAACTTCAATGATGAATGAATAGTCATTGGAACGGACAGTTTTGATAATGTGCCAAATTTGGTGTAATTTTAAATTGCTCTATACTCGATAGTCAATGGCATTGCTCAATGATGGCCTCAAAATAATGGAGATGCGATGCTATTTGGGGACATATTTCGTAAGATATCATTTATAAATGTTATTCTCAAGCTGTATTGAATCAATTTCAGTACTACTATATAAAACATAGGGCAAATAAACACCAGAAACTCGCATCAGTGAGTCAGTGGCTACTCTTTGGATAACATACTGAATTCAAGCTTCTATCCAGAAATACCATTTTTTTTTTTGTTGCGCAAGTTGCAAAGATGGAGCACTATACTCTACCTTGCATCAAGCATTGAAATCTGTGAACTTAGTTGTTCAAGGAGAAAAGATTGAGATTGATTCCTTTATGATTTTTAACTTTTAAGCAATGGGAAGGCTAAGATTGATAAATTTGGTAGTAAAAGATTTAAGGGGTAGAAAAAAAAAATACGAGTATGACTTATATTTTTAGTTTGTATTTTGCGAGTATAATAAATTTGAAATGTGTCTTGAGTTAGAATATGTATGATATGGAAGACATATTTTTTTTTTTTTTGACAAAAGAATATGGTTTCCAAAATTTAATAAAAACGCATAGGTAGAGCATGTAATTTTTGAGAAATTACTGTCCAAACTGATTAAATACTTTTTTTTTAAAAAAATGGTTTTAGGAGTAAATTATGGCAGAAGTAAGCCATTCGCCCATTCCAAAGATGTTGTACAATTTACGATATTTGGACCAAAGTAGACTATGCATTAGTACTACCACCGTTGACAGTCAAATCATGGACTGTGTTCATGATCGGATAAACCAACCCAATCCCCAACGTAGTTTATTCATGTACGTTTCATGTCTTCTTTTTTTGGGAGTGATTCTACTGGTTAAGTGGTCTTGATCCGATGTTCTAAGTTTGCTGGATGGTCACAATTTTAGTGAGGGTTAAATTTGACAATTGCAAAATATAACTGTTTTTTTCACCTTTTATCTTTTACCACAATCAGGCGCACAATGACGCCGTTTAGATTTAATTGAAAAAAAAAAAAAAAAAACAAAAACTTCTACTTCCCCTAATTTTTCCAACGCCGGCAACGAACTTCTCGATTTTCAGCCTCTCCTCCTCCTTTGCGATCGACTACAGCGGCTCTCCTCCACTTCTGTCACGACGGAAGGCGCCATTATCAGCACACAAGGACCCTTTTCAAGCCTCCACCATTGCACTCTCTGGTATTATTCCTCTTCACACCTAATTTGTCAAATCCAGGAATTCCCTCTTTTTGTATCTCTCTTTTGTGTCATCGGCTATATTGGTAATGTCACTGTATGTCTGCGTCTGAATTGATGAAGAAGTAATTTTGTAGTATTTTTCTCTCTTCTCCTTTTTGTATTCAATTTCATGGCTATCACAAGATTTATGAAGGTGCTCTGTAGTTGAGCATCTCAATTTAAACTAAAAAAAAACTTCAAATTTTTCTCCGCCGGGTGTGCTCGGGCTTCTCCAAGCAACCATACAAGATCCCTGGACTTCTGGCGTGCTCGAAAAACTTCAATGGCTGAGTGTCGGCTTTGATTTGGAGGTCGACTGAAGTAGATATGATTGCATATAATTGTAGGATTTGAATAATTGCATGTTTAGTATACATACAGCACCCTAATTGATCTGATTTTCATGGGTTTTTTTTTTTTTTTTATGCCATTAAGATAGAAGTTCATTCTTGCTTTTTAGCTTAGAACATGCATGCAACTGTTTGATTATTGGTGCCAAAGAGAAATTGTACTAATAATCAGGTAATGAATATCGTTTATTATTTTTTTTTTACTAACATGGCGAACCAATGAAGGCACTAGTTTAATTTTTTTTAAAATCACCACCTGCTCCTGACCTGCTCCTGAATTTTTGGCAAACTCCGGGCCCCTTTCTGTAAAAATCATATAATCGGAACTAATCATGATGAATTAATTATATACGTAGAGTTTCGTTTCCCTTCTTTTATTGGAAAGCCTTCTTTTTTTTTTTTTTTAAAAAAAATGTAATGGAAAAGAAAAGGAAAAAAGTGAGGCATTCTTTTACTTTCCATCGTGATTCGTTAAGTTTGAGATCTGTTCGAATAAAATAAAATTTATTCATCAGTTTTTATAGCGGGAGAGAGAGAGAGAGAGAGAGAGAGAGAGAGAGAGAGAGAGAGAAAACGAAGAAGATTCCGCCATTCACCCATTTACTTCCCAGTCCTCGTACGCGCATTGATCCCTTCGAATCCCCCGAAACTGTTCTTAGTTTCTTAACAAGGTTAATAAACTCTACTCAAATCCAAATTTGATTTTGAATTTCCACTGTGTTTTAGATTCTGTTGTTGTTGATACGAGTAAGATCTTGTTTTTTTTTTTGTTCTTCTTATATAGTTTTCCAGATACAGCATTTCAGGTTGTTGTTTTGCTTGGTAGTGGTAATCTATTGTGAATTTTTTTTTGCAGAAATGGGTTACATAGGTGCGCATGGAGTTGCGGGGTTGCATAGACACAAGTACAGTGGTGTGGATCATTCCTACGTTGCTAAATATGTTCTGCAACCCTTTTGGACTCGTTTTGTTACTTTCTTCCCCCTTTGGGTCCCGTAAGTTTTCACCCCTCTCCCATTACTTCTATGTTATTTGTGGTTTCGGGTTTCGTAGCTTCTTTTATCCGGTGAACTGTTTTATTGTGTTGATTACTTCTGTAAGGGTTTTATTTGGTGAGAAGCGTAAACTCTTAGTATAGAGGTTTCATACTGCCTTCTCGGTTTAATTTGGGTGTTAAGTTAATTGATAGTGTTTCCTTGCACCAGATATTATTACATTTACATCTTGTGCTGCTAAATGGTGATTATGTCTGAATTTGCATGAGTTACTGCTTCGAAGTTGGTGTGTTCTGTCTTCCTGAAAGTAGTGATTGAACACTGTCTGATGAATTGGCAAAAAAGGGTTCCTTGTGAATTTGGATTTCTCTCGTCCGTGCCTTGTTTCTGCATCTCCTTTGTCTAACTGTACCCCTTTCCTAATTGATGCTGTTTCTTTCTATGCATGCTATGGATGCTTTCCCCAGGCCCAATGTGGTAAGTCTTTTGACATCTTATATCTTTTTGCTTGGAATACTGTTATCTCTTTTATTGCTTGCTGATAACCAAGCTATCCTTTTACCTTGTACGCAGATTACACTTACAGGATTTGTGTTCATGTTTACATCTGCTTTCCTTGGATATGTAAGTTGCACGACATTGCTTATTGTTTTTTGTGCCTAAATGGTTGATCTGCTTAGCGTAACTACAAGTTTGGTAGCCTTCTTCTTTGTTATTCTTTTTCTTGTCCTCTCGCATTTCCCAGAACAAACCACATGATCATCTATGAGCTTTATTTTCGTACTTTCTTAACTCTTTTTCAGATTTACTCACCTCAGCTGGATTCTCCTCCTCCAAGATGGGTTCATTTTGCACATGGATTACTTCTATTCTTATATCAAGTATGTTTTCCTCCTTGATTGCTTTTCATGAGCTGTTTTTACACTAGTTCTTGGTTTCATTTGGTTGTGCTTTTCTTAAAGCTGCTTTGTTACCATCCACCTTATGCTTGTTCTTTTTGTTGGAAACTGTTATTTGTTTAAAAATTGTATTGCTCCTTCTCAGTATTACAACGTCTGACAAGTTTTGCTTGCTAGACTTTTGATGCTGTTGATGGGAAGCAAGCAAGACGAACAAATTCCTCTAGTCCACTTGGAGAGCTTTTTGATCATGGTGAGTTCTAGCTCTTGTGCTCTGTGTGTGTTTTGAGACATGCATGCACAACATTGATCCGAGTGTAGATTGTGCACATTCAGGGCATTTTGTTATCAGTGTCTGATATCTTGTTTTCTTGACAACTTCTGTAGGTTGTGATGCCCTAGTGTGTGCGGTATGTTATTCATTTTCTGAACTCTCAGTTGTTTAAAGTGCTAAATTCAATGGCTTTTGAAATGGATTTTCTATTTATCAGTTGGAAGCTATTGCCTTTGGAAGTACAGCTATGTGTGGAGGGAATACGTTCTGGTTCTGGGTCATATCTGCGATTCCTTTCTTTTTGGCAACATGGGAATAGTGAGTTTCTAGTTTTCTCCTTTTTGGCGCGGTGGTGAATAGTTTCCAAGTTCTGATTGAGAGTTTGTTGTTGCACTCCAGTTGATTTATACCTGAAAATGAACTGAATAACTAGAATAGTGGGTCTTGATTTTTAACTGGAAGAAGAATTAGGGTCTTGTTTGTCCTTTGAGTTTAGCTACTGAAAAGCTACAGCTTAATGTGGACGTGCTGTTTGGTTCTCGCACATATCATTAATGTATTTTGACTTGATTGGTTTTGAAACTTCAATTGCTTCACTGTTTTATAATCCATAAAGTGGAAGAGAAAAGTGTAGGATGGGATTGTGTTTTCAACTTCAAAATTTGGAACTCATTTCACGTGTATCACATCTTCTAGTGTGATTTTATTTTGCTTTTCCCTAGGATTTGTACGGGAAATGTTACTGTTGGTTACATTCATAAATTGTTTATTCGTCTGGATATTTGCTGATTGTTCCGGACTTCTGGGAATGTCGTTGTTGTATTTAAACGGCTTGTAATGTATTGTTCTTGTGCAGTTATTTCACCAGTACGCTTATTCTTCCTGTGATAAATGGACCAACAGAGGGCCTTATGTTGATCTATTTAGTCCATTTTTTCACAGCTTTTGTAGGTAAATGTTGCAATTTCCACTGTTTTGCACACTTCCTGTGATTCTGTTACTATTATTTTATGGTAATTCCTTACTTTCAGGTGCTGAGTGGTGGGCTCAACAATTTGGGAAGTCAGTTTCTGTATTTAGCTGGGTACCGTACATAAGTGGTGAGTTTATTGACCGGATGACTGCAATACTGCATTTTTGGACTAACGCGTTTTGTTTTCTTGTTGGCCTATTGCATTGAATGTTATTGACCTCCCTTTGGTCCATCTTCTTTGCCTAACTTTCCACCCTTATCATTTGTGGAACAGTTGCTAGTTTCATCTGACTGCGTGTGAACTATCACACAGAATTCAAGATGTAATAGTGTTTTTACTTTTTCCCTCCCCAGCCTTATGGACTTTTAGTTGTATTTTTGACAATCACTATCTACTTTGGCAAATATTAATTATTTCATATTTTTTTCTTATCTCTCTTCCTCAGTATGTGAAGCTCTATATCATTTGTGCTTATTTGACGTGCAATGCATTATTTTTTCTAAAAGAGTATTTTGGCTTTATATACTCTGAAAATTGACTATGTTCTTTCATGTTGATGTTCAGAGATTCCGACCAATGTAGCTGTGTTATATCTAATGATAGCTTTTGCTGTCGTGCCAACAATATACTCCAAGTAAGTATTTTCATACTCGGTAAGCATTATGGTTTTGTATTCTGGAAGTTTAAAACTATTCACCTTTCTCTTGTTCGAATACATCTCCTGATTTGCTCATTGATTAAATGTTTTTTGGGTTTTGAGAAATGGAGGATGCATTTACTGGACTTTTTTAGGCTGAATATATTATCTTGTACTTCTATTGATTTTGTATGCTGCATTGCGGAATATATATCAATAATGGTGACTGGTGACGAGCATTCTCTGTTTCGGAACCATGTATTCTTTTGATGTTCTTTAGCTTTAATTAACTGGTCTTTCTATGCAGTGTTGCCAATGTTTATAAGATAGTTCAGGCAAGGAAAGGAAGCATGCTACTTGCGTTGGCCATGGTAAGCCTCCGTTACATCAATGGAATGGGTTTTGTCTATTCTGTGGCTAAAAATTCTGGATTTACTTGTATGCAGATTTATCCATTTGCTGTTCTCTTGAGTGGAGTTCTTTTGTGGTTCGTATCTCTTCGATATATTATTATCGCATTTGCCCTTTCTGTTATCATGACGTAATTTTATTTTTCAGGGATTATCTATCTCCAATTGATTTGATGTGGACATATCCTGTATTCATGGTAGTGGGAACTGGGCTTGCCTTTGGGTTTCTTGTGGTATGGTGTCTGCTCTACATCTTGATTAATTGAACTAGTTAGGTCAAAGGACTTATGCATTGTCAAATTTTGATACTCTTATGAAATGCAGATCACCTATTCTTGTCCTCATCTTGAGGCTAGACTGTTCTTCTTGGCTTCTCTTGATTCTTGAGCCGTAACTTTGTACCGCACCCAACATGGTTTCTGAAGTTAGTTTCTTTAGAAGTCATGTTTTTATCTCTATGTAAAAACTCATTTTTAAAGTTGAACATGGTTTCTCGTTACGCTTCTGCTTTTGTGTGATTTTTCATAAAAGCATGGCTGCCATTTTCATTTGCCTGTGTGAAAGTATTTGATATGACTAATGATCATGGAAATTGTTTCCTTATTGGGTTGTCAATTGATTCTGATTGAAGGTTGGTTTTGCAGGGAAGGATGATTTTGGCCCACTTGTGTGATGAACCAAAAGGCTTGAAAACTAGCATGTGCATGGTATGTTGTTCTTCTTGGATACTCTTTACTGTGTACGAATTTGGATTTGCTTCATTGTGAATAGCGGTGTTTTTTTGGTATATCTTTTGAACTCTTTTACTTTTACAGTCTTTATTGTACCTGCCATTTGCCATTGCTAATGCTCTCACCGCCAGACTCAATGATGGGTACTATTTGCTTGTGCTCATGATAAACTCTTTCATATTCTGGTATTGTTGATGTAATAGATATATCTAATTCTTTATTTTTTCCTCCCATGCAGAACTCCTTTGGTTGATGAGTTCTGGGTCGTCCTTGGTTACTGTGTATTCACAAGTATGGCTTCTTCCCTCTGTTTTGGATTACTATTACAAATTGTTTTTCATCTTCTATGCATGAAATGCTCTTCATTATTTTGACTTCAATTTTTCGCATTTGTTCTGATACATGTCCCCTTCTCTTCTGTGCCTTCAAATTTTCAGTATCACTCTATCTTCATTTTGCAACTTCTGTTGTTCACGAAATCACAACTGCCCTGGGGATATACTGTTTCCGGTAAGCCTTTTGTTTTTTATGCTTACTTATTTTTTATTCAGTGATGCCACTGTACTTCCCTCTCTTGTATAGTCCTCTTTCCTTTAAGATAAATATCACAAGGAGATAGTAGTTACATATCTTTATGACTAGTAGGTTCCTTGATTTTCTCTAGAATGTGTTACCGGGTACCTGATATTTGAAGTGTCACTCTTATAATAGGCAAATGTTTTTGACGTTGTCATACTGTGCCCAATTTCAGGATAACAAGGAAAGAAGCTTGAGGCATTTAACTCTTTTTCTCAAGCATTCTTCCAGGTGATTTCTGCTTTACATTGAGATTATTTTACCTCTTCATGGGCCAAAGGCTTCTTTAGTTTGTATTTACTTGTTCCTGGTTGCTTCTTTCTTTAGGTGGCTGGTTTGCAACCTGCTGTCATATTGAAATTTGCTGGATTCAATCAATTTCGATGCCTAATTTTTGTAGTGACTATTCCCGAAAATCTAGTTAGTTTACTCCATTATTGTATTTCGTGATGCTTAGGAACTTGGTTAACATTGTATTTTGCTGTACAGACTACAAGACCAATTTGTGTAGAATGACATCGAACCTCCTTAGTACTTAATATTCTGTGTTGTAATGCTCTTATTCGTTTCTTATCCTTGTGACACCAAAGATAATATTACTGAGTGAGGCAAGTTCCGTTTATCAAGATTATATATCAACAAATGGTCTTTTTCTTTCCACAGCATCAGCCGGAGACGTGATGTTAAGAAACCGATTTACTGTTCAGGTATCTAAATTTATCCACCAAACAGGCGTATTGGTACTAAAATAAACTGAAACAAACCAGAGAAATGGTTGCTAAAAGTATCTAATTTGTCAGAGAATTGAATTTATAATGTGAAATACATACATGGCGATCTGGAATCATCTTCTTAGCTATGGAAATAATTACAAGAGAGAACAATCAGAAGTACAGAGAACCATCCCAACTCCCAAGGTAAGGTCATCACGGACTTTGGGTGGGGTAATATTGACAATATCAACCTGCTATTGCTAAAACTATCAATGGATTCCACTAAATGAACCGCTGCATGGTTCTAATTTTGCAACGAGAAAGCAACAGTTTCATAACTGAATTCTTTAACTAGCTATATCGATCTGGTTCTACAAGTAGTAAACCATCCTTCAAATTACATAACAGTATCAGTCTAAACTCAATTCAAAACAGAAGGATCATATTGCATTATCCAACCACCTAGGTAGTCGTAAGGATGATCTCATGCCAAATTTGGTGAAGAATACAGCATAGAGAAGATGAAGCAGGAATACAAATAAGCTTGAATTGATCAAAAGCTGCCAAAGGAGAAGACAAACTTTAGTTTTGGACACAAACACCGCGAATCTGCAGGGAATGCAAGCATTAATGTGAGTGGTGCCAAATATATGGTGACGGCAGTAGTTGAGCTTACCAAGGTCCCAAAAACACCATATACAAAATCCATTGATGGGACAGATTTAAGGCCAACATTCGTCAATATAAATGAGAGCCAAGCATGAATATTCACAGTGATCTGGGGAGAAAATAGATGAATAAACTTTTCATTAGAAAACTATTGGCAAACCAAATAGAGCCAATGGCGAAACCAATCCTGAGCGAGGTGCATCAATTACCAAAGCCAGTATGTTTTCTTCTATCAAAAATGAGGACACCAAAACATAACCAATAGCACCCATTGCTCGAACCTACAGGTGAAAGAGATGGTTCTGATTTGTATCACTTACGACTGCATTAGATAGATCTAAATAAGAAAATGCGATGAAGGAAGAACCCTACTGCTGCACAGAAGAAAATCGAGAGACCCCAACTGGCTCTACACCTAAGAAGAAAAAAAGCATAATCATTACGTAATAATATGTCAACAGAAACACAAATAAATGATTTCATTTGTATTGTACATGGCTTCAGACCAAATAACTTTCAATCAGAAAAAATCTTTCCGAGGGTAAACTATCATCCTGCAGCACACGGCTTCAGGAAAAGCATAAATGCCAAAACTCTTATGAAAGCCTTTTAGAACTTCCCAACAATTAGACATTGCATGTGTCCGCATACTAACGTACCTCCACATTGATCCCATCGCGAAACCAAGAAACCCATGCATTAACTGGTAGAAGTAAAAGCAGAAAAGAATATGAGAAACCAATAAATCTCATGGCTGCCATTCTTAAATCACCACTTACATCGTTATAATGGAAAAGAACATGAGGTAAATCATGCAAGATCATGTACAGATGCATATTAACAAACCAGAAAACTGAAATATGCATCATTGAGGTCTAAAGAGATAAGCACATCTGTGGAAGAGCTAGACAAGTGAATCGGTAATGAAACAACATGGTACATAGTGACAAACTTAGTGGAAGATAGGTTTTATAGCACACACCAAGTAGGTTAAGGCTTTCACAGGACCTGATAATACGAACAACAGCACAAAAGTGGCAACCTGTAGCAAAGGGTGACAGAATTAGAATATATAAGTTGCGAAACTATAGCCAACTGTTTCTTAAGAATAACATGATAGAAAAGGGACGCACCATTGTTTTACGAGCAGCTGAAACACCCCATCTCATTGCAGAAAATACAATTGGCAAAGCGAAAAAACAACCAAAGTAATTCTGTCACAAAGGAAATCCCAGAGTCAAGCAACTGAAACTCAGTATTGAGAAACGAGAGAGTTTATTGTGCTATAGGAATAGTAACAACAGCTGAAGAAAACTACTTTCAGCATTCTTGCTTGATGCCTACATTGGCTGCTGATAATGACTGAAAGAAAATGGTTAACAAGCACACGCTTAAGCATGGTGAGGAGAATAGCACCCAAATTTCTGACAGGGTTATTGTTGATAGCTAATTGCAGGTTTCTAGCGTTCATCGAACCTATTACCAACTAAATTCAAGATTGACATGATCAATGACTAACAGTGAGCTGCAAACTTGTTAGTACAAGCTGAAACTGGATATAAAAGTAAGCAGCCTGATCGTAGGCTACAAAGGAAAACATTTGAAATATAACCCCACACAAATGTGACAAATCTAATTACCAAACACCAATGACACTCCCTAATCCACAAGCTAAATTAGTACCTCACTACATCATCAAATCAAAATAGCTCATTCAGTTATTTTCATGATATTTTAAAGAAATATGTAACCATCAAAGAGAAAACTTTGATCATTGATCAAGATTTTGAAATTGTGGCATTGGAGCTTTATGTTGTACTTACATTCTAATGGCTGGTGACTAAAGATTTACACTGACAGCATAACACAACCGCAATTTAAAATTTTGTTTAGTGACAAGCTAAAAGAGAAGTAATCTATAACACTCAAATTCAGCTCAAAACCTAGTAATCCGAAAGAAAAGAATCCTCACTCAGATGGAATTCAAATTATTACTACCGGTCATTGTAGCTACTCATGAAATTCAAACAAACAGCTTCCAGGCATACATTCTCTACACAAATTTCCTTAAGCCATTAGTCTTAAATCAAGAAATAAATTACAGCCCACAAGGAATTGAACCATAATGAACTAACTAGAAATCAAAAGGAAGAATTTCGTTAATTAATTTATTTATGTTTACCTCGATAGCAAGAGAATTGCTCAAGAGATAAGTTAAACCGGAAACAGCAGAAAACATTGCACATTCCACCAGTCTCAGAGTCCTTTGATAAACTTCTCCATCGGGTGCTAAGTATTCCAACTCAAAGTCTCCATTTTTATCATCTGCTTCTTCTCCTCCATCCTTGTGGGTCCACATGGGAGCCTCGGTATCTGCAAGGCCCTTGACATTTCTGCAATTGAAAATCAACAAAGAACTGCAGGGAATTCTGGGTTTATTATGCGTGGGATTAAATTGAAAATTGGAGTGATAGAAACGGGTGGTTTTCGGAATATGGAGAATTTTGGGGGTATTGAAGCATTGGTGATGAAGGTTTAGGAGGCTCATAGCTCCACCTCCTCGTTCTGGTGGTTGCAGAACTGAAGTATATTTAGCGGGAGAGGTTTTTCTAATTTTTATTTCAGGCATAATGGACTATTGGACTTAATTGAAAATGGAGCCCAAAAATGAGACGTTTTCTATTTGGGCTATTTTCTTTGCCTACAGTTTGATAAGGTTCATTTAATTTAATCCATTACTTGAGTCAAGTTTCATTTCATTTCATTTTAGTTCTTTTTTTGTTTATTAAAAGAGGACCAATATTGCATCATGTTATTGTTTCCTATGTATGTATGTGTGTGTATATATATATATATATATATATATATATATATAGTCCACATTGAATTTTGAGTTTTGTACTATTTTTAGTACAAATTTAAAAACTCAATGTGGACTATTTTTTTTATTTTAGGTAGTATATATATAGTGTCTCTCAATATATAATGTATCTCAATTTAAAATGCAAAAAACCTAATAGTTTTTGTGAAATTACGGTGTCTGATTAATGAAGCATAATAGTTGGGAGTTGGGACATGGAAGTTGGCTTTAATAAAGGATCTTCTTCTGTAAAATTGACCACATTTGGTACTTGCCTTTAGTTTATTTCTCACCATATTAGTAGTTAGAATTAATCCTAAAATCAGAGTGCAACTCAAAATTGTAAAACTTTTAGCGATATTCAAGTGTAAGTATTTATAGTAACGTCGGACAACCGAAGTTTTTCTTACAGGAAGACCCAGAAATTTAATGTAAACAAATGTTTAGGATTTTTTTTAGTCGCATAAATTGAATTTTTTTGGTGTCATTTAGTTATTGTAATTTCAAAATTTTGGTTCCTCCACTGCATAAGGTCAACCGATGGGTTTCAAATGTTCTCCAATTAACTTTCTTTTTTCTTTTTTTTTTTTTTTGGTTTTTTGAAGGGGGTAGACATGATTGCATGTTGGGAGTGGACTGATGGGAGCATGGTAAAAGCGAGACAGGGCATTGGACTTTGGAGAGACATGCATGCTTTCTACGGCAGATTTTGTTAACAATTAAAATTTTTTTATTTTTGTAAACTCAAAAATGTTTGGTGAGTTGTAATCCAGCAGCACCCACATTTTATACACTATATATTATGATATACTATATTCACATTGTTTGACATCTTCAAAAGGATCAATCGGTAGACTATCAGTACGTTAATTTTCGAAAGTACTGATTTCAAATTATTACTTTTTTTGTTCCAAAATTATTATTCAGTATTTGAGATTTTAGTTTTAATACAATTTAAACAAAAAATGAAAATCTAACCGGACAATAATTTTGAGATGGAAAGAATATAATAATATAACAACAAACCCACACCAACAGAGAAGAAATATATATTGATTAAAATGTTGATGTATATGATTTTTATTTAGAAGGGTGACAAATGCCAAATGCCAAATGCCAAATGGGAAATAATAATAATAATAATAATAATAATAATAATAATAATAATGATGGAAATATACGGATGGGGAGGAGGCGTGGGTGGGGTGCGTGCGAAATGGCTATAATGTGATATTCTTTCCAAACCAACAACCGCAATGAGCAAATTAACGTGGTTTTAGATTTTTAGCCCTTTGTGGGTCGGATGAAAATTGATGGTTTTCTCTTCTTCTGTGCATATAGAGGGGGTAAATTAGGGTTTTAGGGGTGGGGTGGGTAGCTGCCCGGCTACGCAACGTTGTTGCCTACTAGTATATCCATATATGTGGTTTTTTTTTTTTTTTTTGTTCTGTCTTAATCCTCAGTTCTTGTTTCTGTGTGTTTTTGTGTGCATGTGTTCCTGTCCTCCCATCCGTGCGGCTCCATCTTTACTAGATAAGAAAAGTTTTTCGTGCGTTTTCTTGGACTTTTTAGGTCATCTCCACACATCATTCTTGGTGTTACATTTTCTTATTTTTTAAATTTTTTTTTTGTCGGAATAACACAATTTACAGACATAACTTTATGAAAATTAACATTCTTGTACTCCTTTCATCCATAAAGAATAGTTTATATAAGATAGAAAGAATATTTTTATGAAATAAAGGGAAAAATATTTACCCTATATAGTATATCAAATTAGCAGGAGACTTTTCCACCCTTAATCAAAGTGGTTGTGGTACAGTGGAAGGGACTTCTCCACCCTTAATCATAGATCGAAGGTTCGAACCTCTCCATAGGTATGAAACAACCTTAAATATTTTGACCAGCTGTCTCACCCCATCGATGTGCCTATAATTCAGCGAGCGCGATTAGTCACTGTTGTTGACGGTGGACACCCTGCAAATATGAAAAAAAAAATAATAATAACAAAATTAGCAAGATTCAATTTCGATTTGACACTTTTTATATTAATTGGTAATCGTGTAACGTAAAATTGTCATATCACTAAAAGTGTGATATTATGAATCGTCGGTTGGAAATGGAGGTTATACATCACATAAAGATAAATTTTACGGTTAAATCTTTGGCCGCTGTGACGGTGATAAATCCAGGAGGAATTATCAAATTGTATTCCCTCCCCGAGGACTCAAATCCTGGTTATAAGCTAATAATCCTCTATATGAGTAATCCTTAATTTATTACTAGTTTATAAGCTTATTTATCTAAACTTAAAAAGTGATACAAATTTTTTTCTTTATTTTTTCCCCCTTTCTCTTTGTTTTGGGTTAAAAGAGGAAACGGGTAAATTTTTATTTTTTTATTATTTTTTAAGAAACTATGACCCTTAGCCCTTTGGCTAGTTGTGGCAATGTCGATCAACAGGGATTAGGCTGGGAAGGAGGACAAGAGAAGCGATGATCCAGCACGACACGCCAAGCAGTAATTCACTAACCCCCACCGTGCTTTCAATTTCAATGCCCAAAAATATTTTTGATTTCCATGGACACATCAATCTCCGGTTTTGAGGCTTTTATTGCTATACATCGATCGGATTATCAGTCCAGAGAACTCTTTTCCGTCCGATATGCTCGTCTTCATTACCATGATTTATCTTAATCTCTCGTGTTATCATGGTACACAAATTTGATCTCCTATATTATAATTTTACAATATTTCTGAAACTAGTATATAATGTTTTCACCTTTTTTTTTGTTTATTTATTTATATACCTATTACTATAAAATTTTACTAATATCCTGACCCACATATGGATTATACATGTCTTTCTATTTCGCTTGGCCTAAAAAACTAGTAGTTAATTTGGGCTTGCGTTTTGAAAAGAAGAATTAAAATCATTTCGATTGTGTTTATTATTTCCTGTGTTTTTTTTTCTTAATAATATAAGTAGATTATTTTTTAATGTGATGGCACTACAAAATCATGGGATTCATCGTACAAAGTACAACAACGTAAGTTCATAAACTAGATTACAAGAAAGGATTTGACGAATTATTCAAATCAAAGTGTCAATTTTTTTTTAATTGGTATTATTTGATGGAACAACACTCCAAAAGAATGAAAAAAAAAGAAAAAGGAAATCCATTTAGATCCTTCCAATATGAAAATGGTCAGTGGGACACGTGCTCATACATTTATAGCAAAGAAATGTTCCCTTACATGTAAATGAAATTCTTTTACAAAATAGAAAAAAAAAAAAAAGGAACTTGTACTAACATTTTATATAATTTTGAGTGTTTGGCTCATGCTCACTTGTTTGTTACTTTCAATCTCATAATTCATACCCCACCAACCGACTTCCAAAAAAAATAAAAAGAAAAAGACACCAATCAACTTGACTAAACAATACACTATCTTTTTACTATGATTTCAACCATCTAATTAAGATATGAAATTTAGTATTGTTTGTGTTATGTTACATTGATGAGAAATTGCTTATTACTATCAATCGTTATTGTGATTTTTAGATGTATAATTTGTATTCCTAGAGGAGACTAGAGACACTCTCATATAAATGGTTAATGATGAACAACTTGAGAAATTCACTAAACTGAACCATCAAATTGACGGGAACAATAAACATTTTTCATTTATTTCACACTGTAAAGTTGTGGGACAAATTTTAATAAGGATGGAGGGCGTGAAAAAAGGCAGATTTTGATGGATGATAGATATCAAAAACTAGAGAGACCCTTTTTTACAATCTTGGTAAAATGATGATGCTGAGCTGAAAAAACTGGTTGCATGATACAAACAGTGCACAAATTTTGCATCATCATCAAGATTTGAGAGCAAAAAAAAAACCCATCATCAGCATCATTTATAAAAAAACGACAGCCAAACAGCTTAGATTCAATGCTTTACTCAAACTTCAAAAGTTGTCCATATTTCTTTTTTCCTTCCAATTTCATTTCACACACACACTCACAATGATAATACCTGCAGAGACAGTGTGCATTTCCAATCACTCTTCCTGGCAATTAACACTGTTTCTTTGAAAAGAAAACGTAAAGTTGACGCCTCCTCAATGCATCCGAAGTATTGTTTTTCTGCCATTGCTCTCTGCAGTCTGTCAAAACAATTTCTCTATTGTACCTTTTTTTGATCATTGAAACTCAAGTGCACCTTTTCTTTCTCTAGTAATAATCCTTAGATATCTAAAATTTTCTGACCCCCCCCCCCCTATTACCTACAAATCTTCCTTTCTAGTATTAGCCCATTAAATTCAGCACTGTGGATTTGACCTGTTCTTCTTTTGTTTCTTCAATGAGTTACTTTTCTCAGTTTATGTTCTTTCTTCACTTTTTTGTTATAAAGGATTGTTAAAACTACTTTCTTGACCACTATTCTTGATCCATTTGTTTTTTTGAGAGTTATTGTTGCTGCAGTTTGAAGTAAGGAATTACTTTTACTCTGCTACTCAGATCATTAAAACAAATAGCTATGAAAGAGAGAGGGAAAGCTGCTGTAGATATGGACTTCACCAACTACTCTTGCTCATCAGAGTTTCCATGCCAGAAACATCCATCTTCATCTTCAGTTGGGATCTGTGCTTATTGTTTGAAAGACAGATTGGTGAAGTTGGTTTGCTCAGAATGTGGAGAACAGCGTTTGTCCTCATGTTCTTGCACTTCTGATATGTCATCATCTCGCCGGAATTCATCAGCCACTGCAGATGTTGGAAGTGTTGGAAGAATGTCATTTCTGCTTGAGAATGACAAGACTACTGATCTGCAGCAACAGTTTAATCAGAAGCCTCCTAATAGAAAGGGGGATCATAATACTAATAGTAGTAAAGGTGAAGAAGTCATTGTGCTCAGAAGGAGTAGCAGCAGCTGTGTTGAGGTGAAGAGGCACAATGGATTTTGGAAGATTAGAAGGCTTTTTAGGAAGAAGAAAGAAAAGGGTTGTGAAAAAGATGGTGTCTTTGATGACAAAAGTAGTGATTTTTATGTTCCTGATGTTATAATGGGAGTTTCCAGGTCCAGGTCTCTCTGCAGTTTCAGGGGTGGTGGATACAATGATACAGATGATAGCAGTGACTATCGTTTTTCGAGTGCGAAAATCTCTGATTTTACTGGTGGCATTTTCTTTGATTATGATAAACAATGTGGACAGAGTGGAGGAGAATCAAGAAGAAGTGGATACAGAGGTCCAATGGAGGAATCTGAAGGCAGAAAAAGTGGATTCAGGGGATTGTTTAATGAAGCAGAACCAAGGAAAAGCGGTTGCAGACGTTCATCTGATGTTGATAATGGTGTTGATATGAAGGGCAATATCAGAAGAATTGGTGGTCCGTTTGAGCTTGATAGAGCATATAGTGTTCCCCACAGAAGTGTTTTCCCAGTTAAAGAAAGTGATTTTTCTGCCATGGATGATTCTGCTTTCATTGATTTGAAGCTGGATTTATCTTCTGATTCAAAACCAGAGCTTTCTGCTGTCAAGATCAATGAAGTTTCAGATTATGGAGCAAATGGTGGTATCTTGAGGGGCAATGATGCATTTCTCTGTGATGGTGGATCATGCAGGATTTCAGTGAATTATGATAGAGGACTGAAAAGAGGGACTAACAGTTACAAAGTCTGGAAATGGCTTTCCAGGCATTATTCAGGTCTCAGGAATTCAACCAAGAAAAATGAAATTGCAGCTGTGAAGCCTTGAAGAAGATGATGATCAGAATCCAACAGAAAGAAAAAAGTAAATAGACACCATTATCTCTCTGTACTATTTTGTTATATCCATATGTACTGTTGCTCTTTTGCTAATTTATTCAACTTTGCTTCCTTTTCAGACTGTACCTTAATTTTTCAAATGAAATCAGCACATCTAACATTTGATTAACTGTTTGAATTTTGATTTGTTCGAGTGGGGATTCTGAGAAGAGGATTTACTGTTTCAACACCTGACTTATGCACACGGTGTTTAAATTACTTAGGTCAACCAGGATAGACCATTCCAACATTTTTAAAATCGGAATTTCACACGGGATCGTTTTGACGTTTCAGGATCGGATCGGATCGGATTCTGGATCGGTGGGATCGTAACCATTTATAATATTATAATAATTCTAAAATTGCGAGTTTCAATATTTTAGTTCAATTCTTGTTTGATTTTATGGAGGAGAAGTAGACTAGTGCCCATATACGTATCATTAACTCAAAATTTCAACTTTTATATCTTTTCTAATCATTTCCCCCTCTTTTTATACAAAATCAACAACTTGTACAAGTATCGACAAAATCAATAGGATCGTTGGATCTTAGGATCTTACGATCCGGATTGGGATTTTGAAGGATTCCATAAGATCCCACTACAAAGAAGGATTTCATAAGATACAAGATCGATTTCTTAATTCCGGATCACAGGATCGTATGATTCTAAGATCCGGATTTTGAAAACTATGGACCATTCTTCTAAAACACAAATTAACAGCTGCAGTTTTGGTAATAAAGAAGGAAGATTCCATATCATGTATCAGTAGCTTTAAAAAGTCAAAGTCTGAATTATCGTCTGGGCGTTTACCATCTCCAATCAAGGATTCTTTCTTTATAACGAAATCTGTACTTTGGGGATAATTTCAATGTCTTGATCTCTTGACTAGTCTTACCAGACACATAAACATACAAGGGAAATCATCATCTTGAGCTGTTTTTTTAGTTGAATTTTCTTTTGCGTAACTAGATTAAATTCAGGAAGATTTTAACATCTTCCTCGTTTCCCTCGTCCTCAATCTTATATATAGACATGCAAATGTATATAGGTTTTGAAAAGAACAAGAATTAATACATTGGAAATACTAGTTTCTTAGGAATTTTTTTTGTTCCCTTCTTTGTGGTTGATCGAAAATGTATGTTGTGAGGCCTCTCTCTGAATATAACAAGAATCCTGATGCTCTTTCACAGCCCCCTGATGGTCCAAATTCAGGATACATGGTAATCCTAGATAAGGAAGCAGAAACTTATTCTTTCTTTGGACTGTTCAAGAATCATTCCCTCAAAGGCTTCCCTTTCCCTCAGAACAAGGAGTTAACTATTTGTTATACACAGAGTAATGGCCAAAACTCATCATCTACTTCTTATGATGACACTATCCTCATCCCAGTTCTGAATCTTCCCTTGTCTTCCAACCGGTATTATGCAATCAAGCCACTTGGAAAACACAAAGGGTATGCTTTTGATCCTTTAGGTTTTTTTTTTTTCTGTCTAGTTCAGTTTCATCAATAAATGAATAACTTGATCTAATGTGTCAATGATATATAATCATGAGGCCTAACCTATAACTTGATCTGATTTGATTGTTTTAGAGAAGCATTCACTTGCTCAAGGGAAGAAGACATGGTGACCTGCTGTTTCTGCACCTCTATTCAAGACACCAAGCCGAAGCCATTCGACCCGAAAAATGTTTATCAGCAGTTTGAGATTAATGTAAAAGAGTACTTCCTAGCTGGCAAGGGATACTTCTATGCCAAATCTGTTGCACCTGATGGTTTTCCTCCCTACTTCTTGCGGCGAAAAGGTTGGAGGATTCGGGCCGAAACACCCAAAAAATACAAACTTGATGAAGTTGCTCCTGGTCTTAATGCCTCATTGCGTGCTCGCAGGCCAGACATCGATTTCTTGCCATCATACAGAACTTCTGAGGCTGTTGTTGTGGGGAAATGGTATAGTCCTTTCATGTTTGTCAAGGAAAGCACACTTACATTAAGGGATCAAGTGGAAAGATCACCTTTTTATCAGGTGACATTAGAGCAAAGGTGGGAGCAGATCTTTTCGAGCCGAAATCACTACCATGAAGGCAAATCTGTGAATGTTGATGTCAATCTTGATCGAGAAACAGTCTATGTTGCTGGAAACAAAGTCGATTGGGATGACAGAAACGCGGTAGAGGGTGTAATATGGTTCAGGAGTTATGGCAAAGCTGCAGGTGAAGAAACAACTATGGGGCTGAGTGTAGAATTAGTCCAGAGAATGAAATGGGAGGCGGAAAGAGGCGGATGGAAAGACGGGAAAGGAAGGCAAGTGAAGGTGGAAAGAACCGAGAAATTCGAAGGAAAGGGCGATTGGAATGAGTTCGGATGCTATGTGTTGGTTGAAAGCTTTATCATCAGGAGATTGGATGGAACTGTGGTTCTGAATTGGGATTTTAGGCACACTCAACACATTAAAAGCTTATGGAACTAAGTGTACTTGAAGATCATAGGCGATTCCAGGAGCTAGGATTTTCAACTTGAAGCTCTGGTTTTCGGTATTATGATAGAGGACTAACAACTATAAACTCTGGAAATGGATTTCCAGGCATTATTCTGATGTCAGGAATTCAACCAAGAACAATGAAATTCATGCGGTGAAGCCTTGAAGATGATGATGATGATCAAATCCAACAGAAGACTAAAGTAAATAGACGCCATTATCTCTGTACTACGTTGTTGTATCTATGTACTGTTTCTCTTTGCTAATTTATTCAACTTGTTCTTTCTTTTCATATTGTACTACCTTATAGTCTAAAATCAGCATAACTAGCAATGGATTTTGATTTGTTCAACTTGGATTCTTAAAAAAAAGGACTAACTGCTTCCAGAACTGTTTGATGATGTTTCAGCTTAATGAAATGTCTTATTAAACATATTATCTAAATCAGGACTGACCCTTCTTCTGAAACACTAATTAAGAAGTGAACAATTTCACGACCATCCCTCCCTTTCAAGAATTTTACAAGTCAACTCAGGAATTGTGCAATTCTTTCGCCGGTTTTATGTATAAACTATGAAATATCTAAACTACAATAATAGCAGTTGGTACGAAGATCTTTTCTTGGCATCAACATCTGGGCGTTGACACCTCCAAGCCAAGAAGCTTGCATTTAAGTCAACAAACTGGCAATTATAAAAATAGGATTCTTATCATGTAGAAATAAAAGAATATCTGTTTTTCTGTGGATGATTTCAGTGTCCTAATCTTGACTGATTCCAAAAAACAGGAAATAAAATTGATGGGAAGCTTCCTGCACATGTGGTGAGCTTGTTGTAACATGCCAGATTGGATCCTTGAAAATTTGAAGCCACCATGTTATAAGTTGACTTTTCTTTCCCTCATCCTCAATTATATCATATATAAAGCTTGAAGAGAACCAGAAGTGATTTAAAAGAGATACATTATTTCAGATTGAGTGAAAATGTATGTTGCAAGGCCTCGTTCTGAATACATCAAGAATCCAGAAGCTCTTTCACTTCCCCCTGATGGTCCAAATTCAGGATATTTGGTGATCCAGGACGAAGAATCAGAAACTTATTCTTGCTTTGGATTGTGCAAGAATCGTTCAATCCAAGACTTCCCTTTTCCTCAGAACAAAGTGTTAACTGTTCGTTATGAACAGAGTAACGGCCAAAGCTCATATGTTTCCCTGAATGACACAATCCTCATTCCGGTTCTCAATCTTCCCTTATCTTCCAACCGGTACTATGCAATCCAGCCACACGGGAAACACAAAGGGTATGTTCTAATGAAGTCATATCCGTTTCTTTGTTTGTAATTGGATACCACTTGTTGGGAATTTGACTAACATGATCTTTAGGTATTTTCTCCATGGATACCAAATTCTTGATAATGAACTTGTTCCCTTTTTGTTTGGTTCTGTTCATCAATCATTGAGTAGAGATTTTAACTTGATCTTCATCTGATTTGATTTTTTTAGAGAAGCATTCACTTGCTCAAGGGAAGAAGATATGGCGACCTGCTGTTTCTGCCGCTGTGTTAAAGATATTAAACCCAAGCCATTTGATCCCAAAAATGTTTATCAGCAGTTTGAGATTTATGTGCATGAGAATTGCTGTGCTGTCAAGGGATACTATTATGCCAAATCTATAGCACCTGATGGTTTTCCTCCCTACTTCCTGAGGAGAAAAGGGTGGAGAATTTGGGCCAAAACGCCCAAAAAATATAAACTTGATGAAGCTGCTCCTGGTCTTAATGCCTCCTTACGTGCCCGTCGGCCGGACATCAATTTCCCGGCATCATACAGGACTTCTGAGGCTGTGGTGGTGGGGAAATGGTATAGTCCTTTCATGTTTGTCAAGGAAAACACGCTGACATTGAAAGATCAAGCGGAAAGATCACCTTTTTATCAGGTGACTTTAGAGCAAAGGTGGGAGCAGATTTTTTCAAGTCAAAATCACTACCATGAAGGCAAATCTGTGAATGTTGATGTCAATCTGGATCGAGAAACGGTGTACGTTGCTGGAAACAAAGCCGAGTGGGACGAAAGAAATGTGGTAGAGGGAGCAATATGGTTCAGGAGGTTTGGCAAAGCTGCAGGAGAGGAAGCAACTGCGGGGCTGAGTGTAGAATTAGTCCAGAGAATCAAATGGGAGGCCGAAAGAGGTGGATGGGAAGGCGGGAAAGAAAGGGATTTTAAGGTGGAGAGGACAGAGAAATTCGAAGGAAAGGGGGATTGGAATGAGTTTGGATGCTATGTGTTGGTCGAAAGCTTTATCATCAGGAGATCGGATGGGAGTGTGATAATGAATTGGGATTTCAGGCACACTCAACACATTAAAAGCATATGGAACTAAGTGTATTTGAAGATCATAGGCAATGCAAGGAGCTAGGATTATCAACTCGAACATCCTGTTTTCGCCTTTTAGGTATAATGAAGAAATGTGTTTATTACAATCTGTGCTAAATCCTCTATCTTGAAGGAGCTTATTAATGTAGTAAGGTTGGATTGTGTTTGTTAAATGAGTGATGTATAATATACATGAGCTCTGCACCCCGCCTGTTTGTGTCTGAAGAAAATGTAGCCTTTCCTACTCCCAACTCTATTTCATTGGCTGCTACCTTGGATTTATGAGTGGCTAATCTAAGTTTTGCTCAGTTTCACGTTGTATTAAGCGAACAGATTGCGAATTGAATTTCAAAGAGCTAAACGGAATCCAACAAAAGACAAACGTTTAAAGTAATTTACAAGTTCCATGAAACTTACAAGGAAATTGGTCTCTACATCCTTGGTTGCTTCCCTTCCTAGTTAGGCCCTTTTCTTTCACATTTGGGGTTCATAATTTTCTAACTTCTTAGATCATCGAAGATACCAGCGAGTCAATGAGAAATTACAAATGTAACAGATCAGTTGACGATAATTTTTTTTATTTGTTTTTAAGGATTTCCAGGTTATTACATAGTTTTGACTTCAAGGTCATTGTTTAATTATTGTTAGTGTGTACAACCTTCCCTAGTTTTCTTTTTCTTGACTTGGCTACATTCAGGATGAATATTTAAAACACTTGAAGGGAGCAATATCTAAATCAAAAGAGATGGTAATCTTTTCTTAATTCTTTTTTAACTTCTCTGTGATCCATTGATAAAAGGATGTATGTTGCGAGGCGTCTTTCTGAATACATCGAGACCCCGGATGCTCTTTCAGTGCCACCTGATGGTCCGAATTCAGGGTTTTTGGTAATTCAAGATGAAGATTCAGAAACTTATTCTTGTTTTGGTTCGTGCAAGAATCATCGTCTCAAGGACTTGCCTTTTCCTCAGAACAAGAAGTTAACATTTAATGTAAAGCAGGGCAAAAATGATTCTCCGTTGGACATTTTCTTCATTCCTGTTCTCAATCTTCCCTTGTCTTGCAACCGTTACTATGCAATCCAGCCACACGGGAAACATAAAGGGTACGCGCTAATTAAGTTCTATCTCTTGGCGTTTGTTTTCTGTGCTAGAAATACTTGTTGCTAAGATTTGGAAATTGATAATCTGATTGGATTGTTTTAGAGAAGCTTTCACTAGCTCAAGGGAAGAAGACATGGCAACCTTCTGTTTCTGTCGCCGTGTTAAAGAAATCAAACCGAAGCCGCTTGATCCAAGAAACGTTTATCAGCAGTTCGAAATCTGTGTGTGTGAGAACTCATGTGCTACCAGGGGATTGTTTTATGCCAAATCTGTTGCGCCCGATGGCTGTCCTCCCTACTTCATGCGGAGTAAGGGGTGGTCAGGTTGGACCAAAACCCCGAAGAACTATCAATTAGATGAAGCTCCCGGACTTGATGCCTCCCTACGTGCTCGTCAGCCAGACTTCAACTTCGCGCCAACATACAAGACTTCCGAGGCTGTTGTGGTTGGGGAATGGTATAGTCCTTTCATGTTTGTGAAGGAAGGTGCAATGAAATTGAAAGATCAGCTGAAAAGGTCTCCTTTTTATCAGGTGACATTAGAGCAACAGTGGGAACAGATCTTTTCGTGTCGAAATCAGTATTGTGATGGCAAATCTGTGACTGTTGATGTCAATCTGGATGGAGAAACTGTGTATGTTGCTGGAAACAGAGCTGAGTGGGTCGAGAGCAATGTGGTAGACGGGGTAATATGGTTCAGGAGTCGGGGAAACGCCGCGGGAAAGGAAACAAAAGTGGGGCTGACTGTAGAATTGGTCCAAAGGGTGAAATGGGAGCAAGAAAGAGGTAGATGGAAAGCTGGGAAAGAAAGGCAATTAAAGGTAGAGAGAACAGAACAGTATCAAGGAAATGGTGGTTGGAAGGAATTTGGATGCTATGTGCTGGTTGAAAGCTTTGTAATCAGGAGAATGGATGGACCTGTGGTGATGAATTGGGATTTCAGGCACATTCAGCACATAAAAAGCATATGGCAGTAAGCAGTGTTTTAAGATCAAAACAAAAAACTGAAGTACTTTGCAAGAATGTAATTAGTTGGATTATGTTGTTTGTAACAAGAAATGTGCCTGTTGATCTTGTTTTGTAGTATTTTTGAAGTCTGATGCTCATTTGCGATTGATTTTGCACTGTGTGAAGCTAACAGATCACTAGTTTAACTTCACTCAACCACCAAACCAAATGACAAAAAACAACCAAGCTAATAACAATTCATCATCGTTTGCTGAAAACTTGGAAGGCTCTTCAAGAAAAACTCTATTTCGCTGAAACCTGAGACCACCTAGAAGCAGAAATGTCTTAATTTCTGTGTTGGACAGCAGATGTTCAAAAGTCTTCAGCCCAATACTATGCTGATGGTTTTCGGGGGCAATAAGGTTAAGGAAACGAGACATAAACAATAAGCTGATGCTAATTAAAGCACAATACTTGAGAAGAATGCAGGTTCAGCAATCAATATAAGGGAAAAAAAAAGATGAAGAAAAAAGCGAAAAGATGCAAATTTCATTGTTGTAAAACCAAATGCAGTCAACAGATCATTGCTGCAGTAGTCTCTTTTCTATCCTATCATCTATATCTTCTGAAAGAAAAACTTACTGCGACAAGAGAATAATATGGAAAAAAAAGAAGCGAAGATCAACTTTTCAAATATAAATTTGATAATTTCAGAGACAAAATTAAGTAGCTTTTGCAGCTTCTGACTCCTCCGGCAATGGTGAACTACTGCTAACAGATGTCTGCGCTGCTTGTTTACTTGCTATTTCAGTCTTGTCCGAGCCAAGTACTGCGGAATCGCCAACCTGTTGTCAGAAAGACATAAGCTTGGTTAGCAACTTAAAAGAGCCATAAAAACATCAGCAGACACCTCAAGCACCTTTTATCAGTTTTTCTACTAAAAAGATTTAAAATACATAATGGCAATAAGTAACTGGCTACCAACAATCAACAATATAAATAATTCACCAAACCAACTTACCTGATGCTTATTAAACTGCGGCTGCTTAGCCTTTTTCTCTTGCATCGCCTTTTCACGCCCTTCATAGAACTCAAAATCATCCAGAATGCACGTAATGCTTAAATGACCTTTTATTAATTTAACTATTTCATTCCCTTGCTCTAACATAACCTGTCAACAATACCAAACCAAGGGAACACGTTAGAATAATTAGTAGAAAGATTTTGCCATGACTAGTGATAAAACATCAGCACCTCTTGAGTATCCCTGCTGTTTGTCACAGGTTTATTCTCATTATTTTCCAGAGTAATGTGCCGCAACACGGTATTGGGAACATCTTTCACAAGATGCCACTTTACAGGGAAGCAACCAGTCCACTTGTCCTGCTGCCAATGTTCCAGACTTTTGTCAAAATCAACTGGACCAGTCATTTCAGCAAGACCGACAAACTGGCCACTTGCATTAACCTGAAAAGGAATTCCAAAGGAGAGATAAGCAAGGATATTCATATAACTGTGATAAAGAATAACAAACCCATATTTCTGAGCCTTATAGAAAAAGCAAAAAACATATTGAAAGAAACTTACAGAGAATAGGAGGAACACAGGGCATCCACCGGATTTCTCCTTTTCTTGAGCTTCCTTAAATGCTGCATCAAGTTTTTTGTTCCCATTCGGAGTGCTTGTCCACACACGATATTTAATGCTTTTATGGACATCATCCTCACTATACGATTTTATTACAAAGAACTTAGCATCTGAGTACGACTCAGGAAAATCATCTCGGTTGTATTGCTCCCTATCTGTACATATTGAATTATCCTCACCACTTTTCCCATCCAAAGTAACACTCTTCAAAGTAACACTCAGGCTGCCAACCTCCAAAGTAGTGGAGTCAGAATCCTTTTGATCCTTGAACACTCTAGCACGAGGTCCCTTGTTTACTTCATTTAAGCCATTGAGACTTTCATTACCAGATCCAGTAAAGTTATTCCCACGAAACTTCGACCTATACTTGTAATCAACAGCCAACCAGCCGCGGCCATTTATCCTGGGTTCATAGCCACTGGAAAAATACCCTGCACCACGTCTAGATGCATTTGGGTATTGATTAAACATCCGACTACTGGGATACATCCGACTCACGTATCCAGTGCGGTCCATTCCAGATCCTGCTGCTGGTTGTTGCATACCCTGTAAACAAGTAACCCCAAAGTTTCAACACCATAAAAAATCCAATTCCAAGAAAATTAGACTTTATTCTCTACTGAGTGTATACAAACCATATAATGTGGAAGATGACTCAGATTTTGATTCCTCACAGGAGCATAGTTATGCCCATACGAGAATGTTGATGTGTTTGCCGAACCCACTGCACAGTCAAATAGAAGGTAAGAAAAGGGACAGCAACTGAAAACATGCAGGATGAGAGAAAAGTAAAGTGGCAGACATGGAAGAAGCACCTGTTGACAAGCCTCCCCATCCATAGAAATCATTCGACTTCACATTTGGATTGTGATAGTTTGGTCTGGATGATTTTGACATGTCATTGGAGAGGACATCATTTGCAGAAAAATTTTGATTTACTTTGACCGTTCCTGTTGATAGCTGCACAGAATCAGCAGCAAGAGATGTTGAATCTTTTTGTGCAGAGTTTACTCCATTGGGTACGTAAGTCCCGTTGCTAACAGCAGAAGGCGGGATGTAACAGGTAGGATACTGGAAGTGCTGGGGTCCATAAAGCGCAGTATCAGGAGTACACCCAGTAGATGAGTATGTGCCATAAGGTGCATAGCTGTAACTGTTTTGGTAATCTCCATACACACCCTGCAAATCAACAGTCACTAAGAAATCCTTCACTAAATTCTTTCGGCAAGCATGAGCTGCATACAGAACACATTATAAAGCTTAGGAAATGTGATTAAGGAAAATAAATGGAGAGAACTTACAGGAGGTATCTCAACCCCATTAGTACTTCCATAGTGGTCCCAGTCGCCAACAGATGACCCATTGAAACCTAATTTTATTTACCAACCAGAAAAGGCAGAATCACATAAGATTAAATATTCAACAGTATAATCACAGCAAAATCATAAAATGCAAGCTCGGAAGCAGCTTCCAAAGTATAATCTTTACCTCCGTAATAATATGTTGAAGATGGATATCCACTTGGACTGTAGAACATACTGGGGTTCATAAAGTCGGGATGAGGACTGGCAGTCCTCTCAAACGGTTTGCTAAAACCATTCATCTGACTACCTGCCACGTCAACTCCATACTTGACAGCAGAACCCTAAAAAACACATAGGGAAGAAAGCATAACCAATCCAAAATCAGAAATCCTTAAGCCATAAAGCCAAAGGTGGGAACTAAAAGACCAAGTGTATCATAATAACAAAAAGTAACCTTCTTTGCAGGTTCGGCAGCTTGGAGAGGCTTGTCCAGCGAATCCAAGGTTAGTTTCTGTAGCAAATCTGCTGCTTCTGAGATGATTAACAGTTAAAGAATAGCATCCAGCAATCATGAAATTGATTCACCAAACATCCATCAAACAAACAATCCATTATGACCCGCTTTTACAGGCTTATTCTTCAGCTACTATAGAGACGCCTAACCAAAATTAAGGAAGCTTTGCGAAAGAAAGCAAAACCCCCCATAAATCACTGAGAAGACATTTTCAGAACAAATCGTAACCAAAAAGAAATTAGAAACGAAAAGCACAAAATTCATAAACCCTCTATAAACCCAGATAATAAGAAATAATTAACCAAAAAAAAACAGCAAAAACAAATAGAACTCGAATCAAGGAAGCAGATAAACACACAACAAACTAAAAGGGTGTCGAAGGATACGACCGGAGGATTGAGCTATGGCTGCCATGACCCAAGATCGAATTTTTTTCCCTCTACTTCCTCAAATTCAAAACACGTTCTCTATCCCTTCTGGATGAGTCCTTGTGCCAAGTGACGTTTGCTTCTTCTCTTACAATCCAAATCAAGTAGTCGTTTTTTTAATTTTAAGTATAAGAAGAACCAAAAAAAAAAAAAAAAGAGTAGAACAACACTGAAGCTGTTCTTGAATATAATTTGCTAAAAGAATTCCTAAGAGATTAAGAACCCTTATCCCCAATTAAAATAAAAAACAAAAAAAAAAGAGAAATCAAAATTGGATAGTGATTCAGGAAACTTATTGTAGAAGGAGAGTTCCTGGAGAAGGAAGGGTTTATAGAGGTATCGAGAAAGATTGCAGAATTGCAAAGGGTCGCCGCCACGACACCCAGACGAATAGACTCACACAGTACAGGGAAAGAGTGGAGAGGGGGAAAAAAATAAAAAGAGGTATTTTTCCTTTTTATACCTTTTATATTTATTATTATTTATTGGGACAAAAATTAAAATGGTATGTTGTGATGGAAATATCACCACGACTACTTTTCTCCCCTCGTTTGGTTTCTATTTTCTATTTTATAAATTATACGACTTGTGAGAGAGGAAAAGAGGTGTCAGCAGTACTGATATTTTTGCAAAGTTTATGAATATATATGATTAATTTATAGGGATTTTTTTTCTTAAATTTCTTTCATATTTACTAAATATCTATAATTGGCATCGGTGAAATAATTTTACACAAGATTAGTGATTTTGCTTTCTCTAAATGTTTATATATTTTCTATTTGAAAAAAATTCTCTAAATTTTTACTTATATCGGAATATATCTCACATACTCTAGAATTGAATTTTTCATGGTTTGAATCCTGTGATGATAAAAGAATATTTATTCTCTAACTTGTTTATTTAAATCATGATGAGAATATTATTTGACAGTTGAAAAAATAAATAAAATCTGCAAATTACATAATGGGTTTGTTGTTGTCGTTTTTAATTTGTTTTGGGCCTGAGGTAAACCAACAACCTGCCTACCAAATGTTTGGGCTCGTTAAAGTCCAAAAAAGTAGGACCTCCGCTGCAAGAGCTATCATCGGTACCGATTAAAAGCAGCATGGTGTGCATCGCCCGCATTTGGATTGCTGGATGCGTGTGCAGTGCCCGCAATGGGATGCCGTGGCCCGTCGTGGGATTTTACCCCTTTGGAGAACCCCGAGTGACGGGTTTCATTCCTTCGGGCTCAATCCTTCATGTTGATAATCCAACTCCCCCAAAGGCGATGTGGGACTACTTGTACCTAAAGTAATCCACCCATCGAAACCCGACACCCGCAAGCAATACATTATTTCTCACACCAATTCTTCTCTCTTAAACCTTCTTCTTCATAAACCCTAGTAGTAGTAACTTAGTTGCAAAATTCCATCTAATTTCTCCTTGAAAGTTCTGATTTGAAGTAGGGAATTGAAAAGCTCAAAGAACACACACTACACACCAACTCGGTTGTGGAAAATGGAAGGAGAGCAACAATGGTTAATCAATTGCTTGAATGCTACTTTGGATACCGATCAAAAAGTCCGTTCCTTTGCTGAAACATCGCTTCACCAGGCCTCTCTCCAATCAGGTCCGTTACTTGTACATTGATCGCAGAAAAGCTGTCTGACTGTAACTGTGGGGAAATTCTGTTTGTTTTTCTTGTCCTTGAAAAATTTTGAATTTCTTAGTATAGTTATGGGTTGTGCAAAAACGCATCCTAGCGTTTTCCTAGAGCTTGAGACAGTTCTTCTCGTTTCCATCCTTGTTTGAATGTGAGAGGTTTTGCAAAGTCAGAGGAAATGGAAAATTGATTTTAGTTATGACTCCTACCAGCATTGTGGGAGCAAATACATCTCCACTGTGTTTTTCCTGACTTTTATTACTACAAGGAATTTAGCCGATCTTTACTGAAATAGCTTGAAGTTCAAGCTCCCAAATGTTCTTCTCTAGCTTGTAATCCAATTTTACTGAATTTCACAGCAGCATTTGGGATATTTTTATGTACCATTACCCAAATGTATTATTGTAACATTTATTCAAGCCCAATATTGATTCTTTTTTGGTATCTACATTTTCTAGGTTTTGGAACGGCTTTGTCTCGAGTTGCGGCCAATAGAGAGCTTTCGCTAGGCCTACGTCAGATATCCTTTCTTTGTACTTTTTCCTTGTTCTTGTTTCCTGAAGAGAATAAAGCAATTAACTGCTTACAATGTTTAACAGAGTACATGCCTTTAGTTCTTTTACTACCTTGTTGCTTTAACATAGCTTCACTTAGCTGCGGTTCTTTTAAAGCAATTCATTAGCAAACATTGGAAGGAGGATGAGGAATCCTTTGAACATCCTGTTGTTTCAAGTGAGGAAAAGGTGCTCTTCTCCCTTTTCCGTCTTTACTTTCTTAAGGTTCAATCCCCTTATAGTTGGTATTGGGAAAAATGTTAAAAACTACAATATATCTGAAGTGACGGATTTTGTTTTCTGATCTTCTTATTGTGTTATCTGTCAATTATAGACCATCAAATTGACACAATTTTTATGATCAGGAAATGATTCGTAGACTGCTTCTAGCATCAATTGATGATCCCCATAGGAAAATCTGCACTGCAGTTAGTATGGCTGTGGCAGCTGTTGCTCGTTTTGATTGGCCAGAGGACTGGCCTGACCTATTGCCGTTTATTCTTAAATTGATTAACGACAAGAGTAATGCAAATGCTGGTTAGTACGTGAAGATTCTCTTCGTTAGTCTGGGTCAATATGTCTATTTATGTTCAGTCTATTTTATGATTTAATATCTGTGATGTAATGGGGGGGGAGTATGACACTACTGTTTCTGTGGTCCAGTACATGGAGCTTTAAGATGCCTAGCTCTTCTTTCTTCTGACTTTGATGATAAGACGGTCCCAAGCCTCGTTCCTGTGTTATTCCCTTGCTTGCATACAATTGTATCATCTCATCAGGTAAATATTGTTCCGATGAATATTTCATCAGTTGCTACGTTCAAGGCGCACATAACGTTTTTCCTCCCTTCGATTTGGTTGAATTTATTAGTTAAAATATTTTCTGTGTCTGCAGCTGTATGACAAATCTCTGCGCACAAAAGCATTCTCTGTACTCTATTATTTTATCTCGATTCTCGGTTCGATGACTGGTGTGTATCAGGTACTGGCAAAATTTCTTTCTTGAAGTATGTGCAACTTGTGGTAGATTTTAGCGTATATTTTTTTACTTTACTGATTCTGAGCTCTGTAACTAGGCAGAAACAACTGCCTTGATGTCAGAATCACTTCAGCTTTGGATGGATCAATTTTCAGATGTTCTGAGCGACCCTGTGCCATCCGAAGATCCTGACGACTGGAGCATCAGAATGCAGGTAAACTCTTCAGTCTGTTGAACGTTTCATTTTTGAGATCTCAATCTTTCTTATTAGGAATTCCTTGCATTTTCGTTACACAGGTTTTGAAGTGCTTGAACCAGTTCCTTCAGAATTTCCCAACCCTTATGGAAACTCACTTTACTGGTATCAATTCAAAGCATGAACTCCAGTTGACAGAATAAACCTTTTAATGTTGTATGGTTGTTCATTGCCTTTTGGTTTCAATTTGATCTTTCAGTTATTTTGGGCCCACTGTGGCAGACAACTGTGTCTTCTCTTGGAGTATATGAGCAAGCATCCATCAAAGGTCTTGAAGACTCTTTTGATGGAAGATATGATTCTGATGGTTCAGAGAACAGCCTAGAATCTTTTGCCATACAGGTGAGTTATTTTTGTATTTAGTGGAGGATTTTCAAGATTAACATGAGATCAGGTTTAGAGAAGCATTATGAATTTATTTCTAAAGTAAGAGCCGAGCTTAAAATATGTGTCAGAAGGAATGTTCCACTATCTTGCCAGTATCTGTTACTCGGCTTCTTCACTTGATAAAGTATAATACCTTATAGCCTTTCCAAAGTGTTGGCAAAATTCCTCGGCCTGCATTTTTTTGCAAGAACTACTTAATAGACCTATCTTTTCTCTTTCGCTGCTAAATGAATTTCTGTGTTAGATTCATTCATAGATTACATTACTCATCCTAGTATATTGCCTACCTCCATGATGCTTCTATCGTTTGACTCTTTATGCAATTCAAATTTGCATTTTTTCTTGGGTTTAGGTTTAAGCTTTACAGTCATTTGGTACTGGACCTATAATAAATGGGAATTGCTTGTATCTTCTCTTGCAGCTATTGGAGACTTTATTGACCATAGTCGGTAGCAAAAGGTTTAGAAAGGTGAGCGGATTCGTTATTCAGAAGTTTTCCCCTTTTGTGATCTGCAACTGTAGTGTTTGTATTTTTTCTGACTTAATTTTCTGATATTGTTGAGATAGGTCGTTGCACACAACATAAAGGAATTGGTGTACTATACTATTGCTTTTATGCAGATGACAGAGCAACAGGTATTTGTTTAACCAAAACCTAGTCTCATAATATTGAATTTATTCGTTTTTAAGGCACCAATGCATTTGCATAATTCAAATAAGTTGACTGGCTTGATACATTCTTGGAGGTTGTGATACTATATTTTGTTGTGCCCTTTTCCCTGTTATTGTTTACTCTCTTAGTCTGCCCTATTTTGGGAGCTCTGGCAATGGTATGCCAAAATCTATACAGATTACAATCACTTCTGGCCAAATTAAGCAGCTAATAGTGTGCAAAAAAGCGTTCTTCAGATATTGATTGCCACTGAAGTTATGGTAGTAACTGTTACTATTTACTCAAATTTTCGTTTGGCGAATTTCTTCTAGGCCCTTACCTGGTCTGTGGATGCAAACCAGTATGTTGCTGATGAGGATGACAACACATGTAGCTGTCGTGTTTCTGGTGAGTTTCTGAGAGAGGAGTTTTGCTTGGTTTGAGTAGCCTAGTTGTGTAATATGATTATTCAAATTTTACACAAGGAAACTCCTTTATTTAGTCATCATTTAACGATTTCTTCATTCCTATCGAATGTGGAAATGGAAATGCCAAACTTCAATGTATCTTGTTCATTTGTGAGACAGTGAGTGTCAGAAATTCATATCTTCATTTTCTGTGTGGCAAAAATAATCTTCTTTCTTGTCCCGTCTCTTTTTCTGGGTAGGCCTGAATGGTTTCTGGTGAGGGGTATAGTAGAGCAGAGTCTTCTTTTAGTTCTGTTTGTCATATAATATTTACTCTTTTTCTTTTTTAGTTTGATTTTTGTTGCTTTTTTCAATTCAAATTGCATCTGATATGTGCTAATACAAGGTCCGTGAACTTATATCAATTCTGAGAACCAACTTATAGTGTTATTTCTTCTTTTGCTGGTTGCACGAAATTAGTATGACATCTTTACCTCGGTTACAATGTAAATTTTGGGGGCTACATTAAGTGATTTTTCTGTGCTGAATATGCTAACTCTTAACAAGGTTCAAGATTATCCATATTGGACTAAAAGGTCAACTCTCTTGAGTTGGCGTGCAATGAAAACATAAAAGAAGCGGTAATGCTATTCTGTTCCTGCTGTGCATATAAAGCTTCAAGCCCTTTCAAGAATCTCCATCAATTATGACAACCCGTAACCTTTGTTCTTTCAATCCTGTTTCATGACTAAAATGAAGATGCTCCTTGCAGGTGCATTTCTAATTGAAGAGGTCATTACATCATTTGGTACTGTGGGGATAGATGCCGTTCTTGATTCTGCAAGGAGAAGGTTTAATGAGTCTCAGATGGAGAAATTGTCTGGTGATGCTAGTTGGTGGAGAGTAAGTGATTGACTATCTTCCTAAATGCTAAGTTTTTCAAGCACTGTTTCGATACGAACCAGCTAAAATACTAGTGGGCAAGAGACTCTTCATCTTACTCTTTATTCTTTTACTGAAACTCTATTTTGAGAGTGAATTGATTATTTTTCCATTAATTTGTCTCTTTGGTTAATGCCGTTCTTGTGTCAAAGATGTTGACACTGGTTGTTGAAGAGATATACGTAGCTTATAATGGGATAAATTTGCAGATCCGTGAGGCAACCCTCTATGCTCTGGCCACAGTCTCGGAACAGTTGCTGGAAGCAGAGGTCTGTTTTTTATTTTTAGCCCTCACCTAGAAGATTTAAATATTTTGAAAAGCATGATTTGGAGGCTATTTGCTTTTCCCTTTGGCAAAATGAAGTTGTCCTGTTATATTTTGTGAGGAGAATTCCGGTGCTGCTCATTTGGCCTCAAATGATTACATATTCTTTGATACCTTGTTTTCACTTTTTGCAGGATTCTGGAGTTACTAAGTTAAAAGATCTTTTAGAGCAAATTTTTGCTGAAGATATGACTAATGGTAGGTACTAAAGCCGTCTTTTGCAGTTCTGGCCTTCATTTGAATGGGAATTAGATTATTCATTATGTTTGATTGTTTGGGAGATGCCTGAATGCTATATAAGGGTAAGGATATCTAAAAGCTGTTGAACGAATTCGCAGAGGAATGGATTTAATGTTAATAATATCTTTGTCATGATTTTCATAAATTTTGAGAGGGCTGCGAAAATTTTATTTCTTTTGTGATGGAAGTCTGTTCTAGAGGCAGCTGTTTTGAGTTGTATTCTGTTGATTATATCAGGTGGACACGAGTATCCTTTTCTCCAAGCCCGTGTGTTTTCAGCAGTTCCCAAGTTTGTCTCTGTGGTAAGTGCCAGTACTGTGTTTTGACCATTGTTTGTGATAATATGACAATTTTTTATTTTTTGCTTGTGTGCGTTTCTCAGATCAACAGTAAAGTTGCAGAGCACTATCTGTCTACCTGTATTAGGGCAGTTGGCATGGATGTGTAAGCTCCTGCTAGAGTTATTTTTACACTTTGGTGCAGTAAAAGCTTTGAAATGTTTTCTGATGATTATATTCTTTTCACAGGCATCCTCCTGTAAAAGTAGGCGCCTGTCGAGCTCTCTCCCAGCTTTTACCCGATATAAACAATGAAATGCTTCAGCCGCATATGTCAGCATTATTTTCATCCCTCACCGATCTGCTTAACCATGTAAAGGAACAGTTATACTTTAAGATATTTGTTTGTGGATTTAGAGTTTCACAATTTAGAACACTTTCAAGTTGGAGCTGAGTCTAACCCTTGCTGCATCCTTTGTTAGGCCTCGGATGAAACCATGCATCTAGTACTTGAAACGTTACGAGCAGCTGCTATTGCAGGTTGGCATTCAAAAATCGGATTCTAATTTGATTTGTATTTGAATACCAAGATTTATTTCACTTTGTGCTTTAAAACGTTGTTCCTTTGTTTCAGGTCGTAATGTGTTGGCATCAATGGAGCATATTCTCTCTCCTATTATTCTTAACTTGTGGACTTCACATGTCTCGGATCCTTTTATTGGCATTGATGCTCTTGATGTTCTTGAGGTAATGTCCCTTTGTTTTTAATATAAATAATAATAATAATTACTTGTCATGAATCTCCTAGACAGAGAAACTTTTCCTTGGAAGAAGTCTCAATTCTAGCAGAAAAGCCGTTCTAGGGATACAGTTATATGAGGGTGTCACCAATTTATTTTAAGTTCATTTAATCTCATCTTTGTTCTTTTCTGCTGCAGGCCATAAAAGATGCTCCTGGTTGTATTCATCCGTTAGTGTCTCGTGTTTTGCCATTTACCACCCCAATACTTACTAAGGTAAGTTTGGACATGTCTTTTCCATTTCTTATTGGGATCTTCGTGATTCGTGGTCATGTATTCACTTTCTGATGAATACTGCTTTCTGTTTGTAGCCACATCAGCAGCCTGATGGTTTAGTTTCTGGTTCACTTGACCTATTAACAATGTTGTCAAAAGTGAGTTCTCTTTTCTTTCAACAGCTTTATCTCGTTTTAAATGTCATGCGTTATGTGAAGTTCCTTTTATTCTCTGTTGCTTATGATGTTAACTTTCAGAATGCTTCCAAAGATGTTGTAAGAGCAATTGCTGAGGTTTCTTTTTCTCCTATAGCTCGTATTGTTCTGCAAAGTGATGATCATACTGAAATGCAGGTACTTATTTTCATTCGTGTGTCTTTTTTTTCTTTTGTAAATATACCTTTCCACATTTTTAGTGAACTCTTCCTGGATAATCCTAAGATGGCATGACATGCGTTTTCAGAATGCTACCCAGTGCCTCGCATCACTAATTTCTAGTGGAAAAGAAGAATTACTCACCTGGTGTGGAGATTCTGGATTTGCTATGAGAACTCTGCTCGATGTAGCGTCAAGGTGATTTGGGTCCTTTTCAATGCATCTTATTTTCCGATTGGTTCCTTCAAATGTGTTTTTCTGCTATGTGCCATATTTGTAATGTACATCATTGATCCTTCGTTTATTACTTTTCATCACATTGGCTGTAGCACTCAGTTCAGTAATTTTTTAACCATTTCATAGCATCAATCCATATTCAGTAATTACTCTTTTCGTTTTTTGTACCTCTACAGTTCTCTTTGTTTTCCTTTTTTGTAACACCACATCCCCACTCTTTTTAGTTTCTAGGTTTAAATTAGGTAGGGGTGGGAAGTTTGGATTCTGTACCAGATGCTCTATTATGCGCCAAAATTGTTTATTACATTGAGATATTCTCTGAACTTATTTTGTACTTCTCAGTTGCTAGTAGTTTAATTTGAATATCAGAGTTGTCTTTTTTCCATGCAGTACAAGACTACTAGTTGCTTTATCTTGTATTCTGCTTCAAATATCTGTTTTTAATACAACTGAAGGGTAGAATCTTTTTTTTTTTTTGATAAACAATTGAATGGTAGAATCTAAGTGTTATTTATGTAAGTTTGATGTTATCTAGGGAGGGGTGATATAGGTGGGCGAGAGCCGAGAGTGGAACTGCTATTTACCTATCTTATATTGGTGACTGATTGTTACAATCTGTTTGCAGGCTGCTGGACCCTGATCTCGAAAGCTCTGGATCACTTTTTGTTGGCTCATTTGTTCTGCAACTTATTCTTCACCTACCATCGCAAATGGCACAACACTTCCGGGATCTGGTTATTGCTCTTTTGAGGCGCATGCAATCTTGTGAGATTGCAGGACTCAGAAGTTCATTGCTTCTTATTTTTGCAAGAATGGTATTTTTCTGCTCAACCCTATGCTTCATTGGTTGGCACTCACTATTCTCACAAGCAATTTATTACAAGAAATAAAATCTTTGTGCATTTTAAATTCAATACTCTTTGGCTTTTTTTGCACATGATAGTTATAATACCAGTACAACTTTGGCACTCTGAGATTTCTCACATCTCTGCTCACTGATCTAGCGACATACTTGTCACCTGTTAGCTAATATAGTCTTTATATGGACAATTAAGATGCATGGAAATCTGTTTTTATACTTACTAAACTATGAACTGGCTGTACTTGGTGCTAAAATCTAGTAGAGGAAATATTGACGAAAAGAGTTGGCTTTTCGGTTGAGAATACTTTTTCCAGCATCATCAACATTTACAATGACAGATATTCATCTATCATTATAATTACTGTCCTTAAATGAAACCATTAAATTACTAGCTAATATTCTTTGTTTGCTTGTAATAACTGATTTTTTTAATGGTCAAATTCCTAATTTTTCAGTGCAGGTCCATATGAGTCTTCCAAATGTCGGAAACTTTATTGATTTGCTAGTCTCAATCCCTGTCAATGGCTATGGGAACTCATTTTCTTACCTTATGTCTGAATGGACGAAACTACAAGGTAAGCATGCATGTGCCTTCCAGAACTAGGCAGTATATTTGTATCAATGTTGAAGAATTTAAAAATTCCATGGTCTTCTCAGACCCTTTTACAATAAATTATTTCCAGTAGTTTTACATTTTCTCATGAATTCTGTCAATATCTTGTGAGTCTTTGTTACTCCTTGTAACTTGTATCTACGAATGGGTTATTTATGCCCAATAACGACGTTGTGATGTGCTGAAGGAAGTTGGAGACAAACTGATGATTTTATGGTTATTGAATTTAGGTGAACTTCAGGGGGTTTACCAGATTAAGGTAACCACCACTGCTTTGGCTTTGCTATTATCCTCCATGCATGCTGAACTGGGGAGGATCAATGTCCAAGGTCATCTAGTTAAGGTGTGGTTGACATTCATTATTTCTTAATGCAATAACTACGTTGTTCAAGAACTTAATAAGCTCCATGTGATATTTGAAGTCAAATGCAGGTATAACCACGCGCTCAAGAGCTAAACTGGCTCCAGATCAGTGGACACTTATACCACTTCCTGCAAAGGCACTTTCTTTTCTTCCTCTAGTCCCAAGATTACTCTTAATTGGATTAGTTGTATGCCTTCAGAAAATTTTTAATGTTTCCTCCGTCCCGAAATAAGTGTCCTGTTTTGTTGTACCAAAAATAGTGGAAATACTGGACAATCATTTTAGGATGGAGGGAGTATGTTTTAGCATGCAAATTGTGTTAAAGATGATCTGCTATGTAACCTTCTTTGACGTAGTTAGGGCAATGATATGATTGGGTGAAGAAACAGCAAAAACATCATGTTTCATTTTTTTAAAAAAAGAAGTTTCTAGTCATGTTCTGTAATGAGATGATGTGGCCTGACTGCATCCGTTTCTTACTATGTCAGATATTAGCCCTACTGGCAGATGCCATGCTGGAAATTCAAGAACAAGTAGATGAAGATAACGAGGTAGTTTATTGATCAAACTCTTTCAATTGTCAAAAGAATTGGGGAATCTAAGCCTTATGCGAGGCTAAACTTAACATTTCAGGATAGTGATTGGGAGGATGTTCAAGCTGGAGACAATGGGATTGATGAAGGGCCTCTTTACTCAGCTGGTGTTTCATCTCATAGCAGGCCCACATACGAGTATCTTGATGCAATGGCAAAAGTTTTGGAGGAGGTTTCATCCTTTGGCCGCTGATTACATCTGTTATCCATGTTCTACAGTTCTTTGATTAGTTCATTCAGACAGATCTCTTCCTCTCCTTGATTTATTTTTTCTTGGTTTCTCAATGTTCAGGATGATGATTGTGAAGATGAGCTCCTCAGTGGTGCTGACCCTGTGAATGAGGTGCACTTTTACTCTGTTTGTTAGCCTATTCTATGATCGAGGGATTTCTTTCAAAAATCTGTGCTTTATTTATTTACTTTTGTTTTACATGATCGTTGCAGATTAATTTGGTCAATTATCTAGTGGATTTCTTTGTCAAGTTCTCCCAGAGCGATGGGCTAGTCTTCAATAACCTGCTGCAGGTCTGATTAACATTCCTCGTTCGATTACTGATAACAATGAATATTTAAGCTTTAGCTCTTTGGGTGTTTATATGTTCCTAAAAATTTCTGCAGAATTTAACAGCAGCTCAACAGACCGTAATTAAAAGAGTATTGAACCCGTGATACCATGATTTAGAATCTTACGCAGTTGAGACATTTGAGAAGTTGAAGTGGATTCGGCCGGCGGCCGTCGAGGGCAGATATATGTGTACATTGCTGTTCACGGTGGATGAGAGGCTGTGGGATAGGTGTGGATTTTCGTAGGCAATTCTTGTAGGTGATTTTAACTTCTCTTCTTGGGTGAGATGAAATTCCATTTTATGGTTTGAGATGCAAAAGAAATCAGCGATAAAACACTGGCAGACGCTAGTAAGTTTTACGTTGGTACGTCTGAGCCTTAAAGCAACGAAACAACAAAGAAATGTATTTACTGCAATCGAAGATGCATTATTGTACATGGTGGCGTTAAGCATGTCACAAATTTTTAAATCAATCCGTCTACATTTTTTTCAACCATGAAGTTTATTTTAAAATTATTATTAGTAGTAATGAGCCACACGAGTTATGAATAAAAAACGTAATGATTGAAAAATTTTTATTGAAGAAATTGTGGATTTAATATTATTGGGTTGCGTGATCGTAAGTTGGCATGAGTTTGTTAGTCGATTATCGATTGCCGTTTGTTTGATTAACAACAATTTACTTCGCTTGGCTAGCACTTACAGCTCGAATGGGTCAATTAATTACTACTAATTTCCAGTTTAAAACTATCAATTTAGCTGAATATTTTAGCTTTCAGCTAAACGCGGAGTTCAGAATTAAATTATTGGTTCGTTTTATTGTTAATTCAATTCATTCCATCTTAACTGAAAATTTGAAAATTTATACCAACACGTTGCATGCTTTGATGGACAATTAACCCAAAAAAAAAATTAGTCTGAATGTAACGTGGGCTTTATTTTTCCCAACTTTTTTACAAGTTCACTCTTTATCTTTCTGACGATTACCATTGAAAATTGGTATTGGAGGGTTTTTTTTTTTTTTTTTTTCAAAAAACAAGAGTTTGAACCGAATACTTAATGACACATGCATTATTTCCCAAAAATAATTATTCTTCCCCAAACTTAAATCAAAGAGTGTCCTCACTGGACTAATTTAAGCACATAGGAAAATATGCATGTAGAGACAAGAAACTAGGCTAGTATGAGACAATAAAAATTATATGCACAATAGACTCAAGCACCAACAGAAGCCTAATTAAAAGATTTACTATTGAGTGCTTAGTGATGATCGGAAACCAAAGAAGTTCTCCACATACAAGAAGTTGCTATAATCGATCAGTTCTGCAGAGGAGTACATTCTTGACTTTATTGAATTTTACAAAGGGGCTAAGAAGAAGAAAGAAATACAGAAAGAAAAGTCATATTGTGGGAGGAGAATGTGAGTATGCATGCATCCTCATTGCCTCGTGTTGATGCAGCGAGAAAAACATCTTCAAGGTGGAAAAGAAAGATACATTCGGGGAAGACAACATTGGAATAATGTGCTCTACTCTAAATTATTGTATCTTTGCATTTTTTTTTTTTACATAAACTATATTGACCTTGTATTCTCATGTGTAGATGGTGAGATTTTAATTCCTGATCTCCTTTAAAACCAGATAATAAATGATCTATGCACTCTATCATTTTTATCATCTGTTAACGCCGTTATATTGTAGAGGGATGAATATTCAAATACAATGATCTATTAATGTTAGTGTAAATGTTAAAGTAATTAACCAAGAGAATCCAACCCATGATGTATTAGTAATTTTTTTTAAAAAAAAAAGGAAAAGAAAAATTTATGGTTAGCAGCATTGATTTAAGCTGATGTGAAACAAAATCATTAACACCGCTGTTCTTCTTCAATATTGAAACAGTCGTGTCTTTTGTGACGGATTTAATAATTACGTAAAACCGTCAAACAAAAACTCATGTTTGTCTTTTACTATTATTCAGCTTTGCGCTCAAGATTCTCACAGACCCTCTTCTACCTTTAAGCAAGGAATTGTGATTTTCATTGTACCAACTGAAATTTTCATGTTACCTGTAAATAATTCATATTGAATTTTAATATTTATTTTAAAATTAGTACAAATTAAAAAACTCTATGTGAGTTTTTTTTATAATTTTTTTAGACAGAAAGAGTAAAACCGAAAACGAAAATGCTGCTTAATTAACCATTAAAAAAAGTAAGACTTCATAAGTTTAATTAATCTTACATATAGCTTAAGCTTAGAATTCGATAAGAACTTAAAAGTATTAGCTACTAGCTAGCAACTTCGGCTGATTCAGACACATGCATGCATGCAAGATGTTGAATTGGATTAATTAATTAGCTCCTTAACGGAGCCACCATGAATCCGAATCTGGCCGGTGCCGGCGGTGAGTTGACCCGATGTTGTTACAGAACTTAAATACTAAGAGCTTAATCTCTTGGGTCGCCGGGAATAACGTCGGCAGCCGCCGGAGATAGCTTCGACACAGCGGACAAGTCACCTGACCGTGGCCGGTAACCCATCTATCAATACAATCTCTATGGAATTCATGTCCACAATTCTTCAGCTCCCTGATTTCATCCCCTTGCTCCATCTTGAATAAACAGATTGAACACTCCTTTTCTTCTCCTTTTTGGCTTGGCTTCCAACAACTTGAAGAATTAATATGGACCCTCCTGATTTCTCCAATTTCTTCACCTGAGAAAGCAGCCTCCGCCGCCGCCGCCGGAGGATCAATGTTGGAAAAGCTGAAGAATTTCCATGCCAATGCGAAAAGGGTTGCAAGTGATTTCAGGAATTTGGAAAGATGAGATTTTGGAAACATTGGTTTTCTTCTCTTTTTTTTAGTTTGACTAAGATATTTAGGATTGTGTAAGGATTCTTTTGAAGGAAAAGCTGAAATAGTTACGAGGACTATATATAAAGTTATATCCTAGAATCGAGAATTACGAGTATAACGTGAATAATGTGTTTTACACACACACACAGTCACACACTGGTTGGGATTGAGTTTGATATGTCATCTTCATATGGCACGAGATTCAACCTTGATTGCTAGTTTTGGTCCAAACGTACGCCGATTGACTTGCACTTCCAAAATGAACAGCGCGTCTAATAATAATGTAGCTCCGACTATATTTTATCAATATTTGTCGTTTTCCTATTTCCAATTTACAATTATCATCACTCCGTTACAACTTGTTAACACAATGTAGACCCTTCTCCGAGTTTTTCATTACGCTCATCGAGGTTTGGATTCTATCTTAAAATGTATTTTTAAAAAAAGTGAAAAAAAAATTATCTCGATAAATATTTTTATCCACTCTATTATATACTACTAGTACGTAGATTTGAGATCAAATAATAATTTAAGTGTAGCATATAGGACGTTTTCTGCGGAGTACTAATAAGTAACTATTAGTTTGGAAAATTGAGTCAAGTAATGGTCTCACAATACACGGCGGGCGGCTAAGTACACTTACAAATCTCTTTTTTAAACATGGGTTGGTGACGAGTACTGCTGAATTTCCTTAAATAATCAAACTTTTGAACAAAATAATGGATATCCTCGTCCAGGGGCGATGTCACCACCATTTTATAGCGACGGCTTAAAATAATCAAACTTTCGAACATCTGTCACTGCATTCTATCTTTCTTTCCATTTAAAATTCTCTAGCTACTTTAGAAATCATGTACCAAAAATACATTTTAAAACCCCTAAGGATGTGTAAGTACTAAGTACTATTACTAATTAGTACTGCCACCAATGCTTTGGATATGTGATTCCTTCGACTCTGATCTGTTAGTAGAGAATTTGAGAGAGAGCAAATGATCTGCTGTTGAGTGGGTGTTAAGCCTGAAACATGTAGCTGTGTTAGTCTATAATTCTAGTCATTTATCTTGAAAACTCTAGTAGTGTTATTGCGTTACTCTGTATATTATTTCGTACTTCGCGTTTAAAATTATTGTTTTGACAACTAATTCAGATTTGAGACAGATATAATTATGTTTCAATCAATCGCTCCTGCAGATCCATTCGTGAAGTATCTTGTAAATATTTTATCATCTCTGTAATTATATACTACACCAATTAGTTACAATAGTCAATAGATAACACTAATGGATAACTAGTAAGAATGATTTATTGTGTAACTTTGAATACAAATGTGTTCTCCCATCAAACTCTCTGTCTTTCTGTTATGTAGTCAATATGGTGTTCTTCAGAGTTCGTATTACTGTAGCGAACATAAGAATGAAAAACAACATTTTCCATTATTTATAATTCTTTTTCATTCACACAAAAAAATTAAAAAAAAATAAATAAATAAGAATTCAATGAGCGTGAGGGACTCATTGGACGGCGATAGAAGAACTCATACAGGCCCAATTCAATTAGACACACGTTCACTTCACGTGGACAGAAAGAAAACAAAACGGCCCAACAACCATCCGATTTGGACCGTTCCCCACTTTCTTCTCTTCTCTTTGCCTGAGAGAGAGAGAGAGAGGCTGAAAAGTGAAAACATCAAAAAGCACGAACTCACCGAAAATCTAAGAACAGGCAAAATATCGATGCAATAGGTTACGTAGAAAGGCTATAATCTCCATTAATCAAGAGCATAAAAGTCCATTCTTTCATACTTTAAATTCAATTTCTTCAATGGCTTCTCTGAAATCGCGACCATTTCATTGTTCGTCGGCCACGACGAGCCATTGTTCTTTTTTATCTGGGAATCGTTCATTGATAATTCCTCGGTTTCCCCCATCCTCCGTCAAGATTCCATTTTTCGATGGCCCCTTTAGGTCTAGATTAGGTTCCGTCTGTTGCCAGAATTCCAATTCGGATTCTGTCATTGTGAATTCGACGAGTACGACGGGTTGTGGCGCCGGGTCTAAGAGTCCGACCCATTTAACGGATGATCACCCCCAGGCCTCCGCTTCCTCTCCTTCCTCCGTCATTGATTTTCTCACATTGTGCCACAGTCTAAAGGTATTCATTAAGTATCTATATTTTTTCCCACGTTTTTATTTCATCGTATTGTCAAAATTCTGCATTTTTTTGGCTTTTGGTAGTTGTACATTATTGATAGTATTGCATCACACAAGCTATCTTGGATATGAGAAAGAATTTACTCTTGATTTTAGAGTTCCTTGTACACCAATAGATGGGAGAATGTGGGTTCAAATTTCTTGGTTATGGCGTGAATCAGAAACTATTTCTAAAAGATGAAGTTATTTAAATTTAAAGCTGAAGAGTCTAGTAGTCTAGTTAGTACGGTTATTGGAGGCTAGCAGTGATATAGGATAAGTTGTTGGTTAAATTTAAGCTGAAGAGTGTTCGCATGATGTGAGTTTATCTCTACTTAATAGATAGCAGCTTTCTGAGGTTGTATTAATGTGGTCAAATTGTCAATGGCAACTAATCTAGATCCTAGAGGGAAGTAATCCTTTGAAATTGTTTATGCTTTTTCTTGTTGTAAACAGTTCTTTATTAGTGATCGAGACTTCCAATGATTTCCAAACCCTTTAAATTAGTGAAATCCCGTTAAAAAAAAAAAGATTTATATTTGTCGTTATAGTGGCACAATTACTGTTTTGTTGTGGGGAAGAAACACCAACAACGGGCCTTTATCCCACGTAGGGGGTTGGTTATATGGATCATATGTCTTCATCTTGCTCGCTTGACACACATACTTTCATTCAAATTTTAAATAAGCCATGTCATTTTTATATTACATTACCAGTAAACTACTACAAATATTCACAAGTTAGCTGTGTGACCAGTTTTGTATGATATGTTTGCCTACACTTTATTTGCTAGCTCTACTTCACACTTTCACTTTCATTGTAGCTGTACCATTTTATGTACAAGTGTTTACTTTTGAAATTTTCTAAATGGTCCATGTATTTATGTTTCACTCTCTCCCCAGACTATGAAGAGGAAGGGCTGGATTAACCATGGTATAAAGGGTGCTGAGTCCATTGCTGACCATATGTACAGGATGTCCTTGATGGCTTTGATTGCTGGTGATCTTCCTGGTGTTGACAGGGATAGGTTGAGCTTTATTATTCTTATGCAGTATACTATATATGTTCTTTGTATTGACTTATTTAATGGAGTTACTTGGTTTGATAAATTTCACATAGGTGTATCAAGATGGCAATTGTTCATGATATTGCTGAAGGTACTGCCTTCTTTGGTTTATTTTGGTTACAAATATCACTGAGACTACTGTACTGTTGACACAATGTTTTTCATTCTCATGAGTCTTGTCACTAATCTTAAAAGTCTTTTGTTTTCCAATTGACCACTTTTGATTAAAATCAGTATTTAAGCCCTGTGAGTTTTAATAAATGGTCAGGAAATAAATGACCTTGTATGTTGTAAGGAGTTTAAGCCCTGTGAGTTCTGTAACTTATCAGGAGACAATTGAGCTTATGTGCTGTAAAGAACGCACACTTTGGGTTGGAAGTTCTACAAATAAAGTGTTGGTGGAAACTCTTACTTTTTTTGATACTTAAGGCCATTGATCTGCCCTGATTATGTTGGAATATGCCATGGAGCAATTGATGTCTGGTTGTCCTTTAGTCTTGAGAACCTTTTCCTTGTATTCTTGTTTCTGTGATTCCACTAATCGTATCAGGTAAAGTGGAGGCTAGATCAATGTTGAGTAGCTAGATCCTTCCTGGTAACTGTGGTCAAACCATATTATTAATTTCAACTGATCATGCTCTTACGGGCATTAACTTCAAAGCTCAATGCTCTTACCTTTTGCTAAGAAGTATATCAATTAGCAATCCGTTTAAGTGAATTTGTTACACCATTATATGCTTAGCTCTGCATACCTTGTATAACTTCAACTGCAACTTTGTAATTTGCTGTCTTAGTATTCATATAACATATAATTTCTTATGAATTTCCTTCAACATTGATCCAAGCAGCAATTGTTGGAGATATAACTCCTCGTGATGGTGTGCCAAAGGCTGAGAAGAGCAGACGGGAGCGGGCAGCTTTGAAAGAGATGTGTGAGATTCTTGGAGGAAATAGAGGTTGTATTTGATTGAATGCTGGGTGATTTTGAACTTATTACCTTGTAAAATGCTGAAATAGTTGTCTCTTTGCAGCTGAAGAGATTAGAGAACTTTGGGAAGAATATGAAAACAACTCATCTTTGGAGGCTAATCTTGTTAAAGATTTGGACAAAGTATGTTGTCCCTGACATTTATGAAATCAATTTTATTTTCTTACAAGTTATTGCTCTTTCAATTTGTTCTCTATTTAACTTTCCCACTTTTGCAGGTTGAAATGATTCTGCAAGCATTGGAATATGAAATTGGTGAGTTTAGTTCAAGAAATTTACTTTAATGTTACTTTATCTCCACTCACATGCATAAGTAAGAAGTAAAAGGAACAGAAAAATTAAGTCTCTTCCTTGACGAAAAGTACCCCACAATTCCCATTTGTGCTGCCTTACCTAAGTCAAGCTGATGCACCTGTCGCATGGAAATTGCTGTTTTCTTTCAGTCTCTTTTTCCGGCATCTTTGTAGGAAGCTTCAAAGTTATTTCTGGTCTTAACTTGTTTGATAATTTAACAAAACACGTTCATATTGAGAAAGCACTGATACAGAATCTGGATCAACTAAGCTTGGAGATTGTTTATGTTTCGTGCCCGTTTTCCCAACAAGAACGATGCAGGTTTATTTTGCATTCGCTTAGGCAATGTGTCAGAAGAGTGTTTCCCTTGGCTGGTTATAGGGTAGGAGTTCTTTTTGACCACTTGATCACTTTAGAAGAGCTATTGTGCCACCATCTACCTTGAAAGCTCCTGTTGTCACATTGTGGCTTGTGTGAGTTTCAGTCTGGCATGTCCTTGATGGTTGATCTTAAAGGGTACAATATACGCTTTTGCTTTTATGACGGAATTATTTATTACTGACCTCTCAAATCTTGTGGTGATGTGTTGTGGATGTTTGATTGAGGTATTCAGCATGCATCTTAGAACCTACATCATGTACCTTTTCTTATGTTGTTTCTGTTATTGCAGCTCATGGGAAGGTGTTAGATGAGTTTTACCATTCGACAGCAGGTACGCATTGTCACAATAATGTCATACCTTTTAATCACTGTTTAGTATTCATACTTGACCATGACTCAAATCTGTGTCCATATGCAGGAAAAATTCAGACTGAAATAGGAAAGAGTTGGGCAGCTGAGATTCATGCTCGAAGAAATTCAAGGTTGGAGAACAGGTCAAATTGACTCCTGCTATAACTTGTCCATAGGTTTTGTTTCCTTTTTGCGCCAGATCCGCCTCCTCTAGGGAGCAACTGACAAACTTACTTTTAGATGTATCAACTGGAAAGAAAGAAATGAAGATTGACCTTTGATTCTTGAGTCTGACGATACTCGTTCCGACAATTAATGTTCCTCCTAGGCCATCCATCTTGTGGATGCCTAGCAAATAATATGTATTCTAAAGCTGTGGCAGTATCAGGTTCGATTCTTTAGTTAGGTTGAAAACCGCTGGAGTCTATGGATGGCAGCGAAAAAGAGCTTGAAGTCTGTATGTAATAACACTTCTTCCTTTCGGGCTTTCTCTACTGGCCTAAATGGTGAAAAGTTAAAAAGTGGTTGAAGGGTTAAGCTGTACGGCCAATTCTTCTCGACTCAAGACCGGACTATTGCAGCCCGAACATTTGGTAGGTAGGCTGTTAGTTTTACATCAGGCCCAAAATAAATTAAAAGAAACAACAACAACAACAACAACAACAAACCCATTATAATTTACAGATTTTATTTTTTTTCACTGTGAAATAATATTCTCCTGATTTATTTAAATAAATAAGTTTGAGAATAAATATTCTTTTATCTTCACAAGATTCAAACCATGAAAAATTCAAATCTAGAGTGTGTAAAACATATTCTGATGATTAAAATTCATTTCTTTTTTAATGTGTAAAATATATTCTCATGATTAAATAGACATTTTAGAGAATAATAAATATTAGTTTTACTTCGCAAGACTCAAACCATGAAAATTCTAATCTAGACTCTAGTGCATGCAAAGAAATAAAAATCATTAATCCACAAGACAAGAGCATACAACCTTAAATTCTTTGAATAAGCCAATTATCGAGACGTCTATAATGAAAAATAATTATTATGGACACTATGCAAATATTAAAAAAAAAATAACTCATGTCCATTTTAGTAGAATCTTCATATAATTATATCTTTAATGCCATTTTTTAAGAGCTTTTAAACGGAGCAATCATCTGTACATCCGAAAATCAGTTTACATGTTTTGATTCTTTACTGAATCATGTAGTTCTAGATATTAATAGATTCGTTACAATGTTTACAAGGTTTTTTTTTTGGTTTGAAGATGGCATTTTGACTTCTGCATGTATAGAGTGGTAATGATTGGATTTCTTGAGTAGCTTGTTTTCATACAATTATGAGTACAGTTTCATTTTATAGATCATTTGTCTTTAAACATGTGATGTTTCAATAGCTTAACCAAATTTTAAACTTCATTTTATAGATCATTTGTCTTTAAACATGTGATGTTTCAAAAGCTTAACCAAATTTTAAACTTCAATAGCTTCATATATGTATTATGACATATGCCTATTATGATATATGTACATGTATTTGTATTTGTCCTTTCTATTAATTTTACGAGTAGTGATGGGTACAAGGAAAAAATGACAAGAAAAAATGACAAGAAATGATGTGTCAAGATCTTAACTATACCCTAATTTTAAATTCATAAACCATGTTTGGAAAGTTTTAATAATGGATGGGTGAGATCATTTTCTTGTAATTTTTCCTTGTCATTTTTTCCTTGTACCATCATTATTCTAATTTTACAATGTACTCTACAGCACCCTATTTCAATGGTTCAGTTAATGAGAATAGTTATTTACTTTTCTTTTTTTTTTTTGGAAATAACAGTGAGATTAGTTATTTACATCTACCCTTATTCTAGTTATGCCTAATAATACAGGGTTACATGATCACAATAATGTCATCTCCTTACACCAAATTTTTTTAAAAATAAACTAGTACGATTGTGACCGTATTGGATTTTGTAATGAAAATAATTGGGGAAGAAAGGTACTACCTTTGTCCTAAAAAAAAAATTCACATTAAATTTTGAGATTTGTATACTTCGTTATTTCGTTTCTGGTACCAATAATACAAGGGTGAGTATTATACTGCTGAAAAAATTCATCATATCCAGTGGTGTAAATGACATTGTTTTAGGTAATACAGAGTATACCAAATTAATTTATTCAAAAATTTATATTCAATATGGATGAATTGCTTCGAGTTCCTCAAATGGACCGGAAAAAATAAATAAACAATTCCTCAGATGGAACAAAATCTGAGAGACGGTAGTCAAAGTCAACGTGAAAATAATGCTAGCACCTACTAATTAATTAAATGATGAACAATACAAATAAAGTGTTACTTCTTCAAGCTACCAACTTTAGTTCTTTCATCCACCACTAGTTTTCAATTTTAACCATTTTGTCCTTATCATTTTTCCAAATCGAGTAATTTGATTAGAGAGAAAACTTAAAAAAAGAAAAAATTTAAAAACCAGTCGGCCGTGCAAAAAAATTTAAAAATTTAATAATTTGCCCGTTCTCACGTAAATCGGACCGGATAACTTACCTGGTTTCGTCTGATTTTTTGATTTTCTCCAAATACATTTGAGTGGCTCATTCTCTCTCTCCTCTCCCCCTCCCCCCTCTCTCCTTCAATTTGATTTGGTCAAATGATAGGGGCAAAACGGTCAAAATCAGAAACTAGTGACTAAAATAATTAAAGTTCGTGGTTAGAAAAATTCTCCCCAACAAATATTCACCGACAATTTTCTTCTCATTGTTTTTTTTTTTTTTTTTTTGGTTTTGTTTTGCCTTTTCCTTTTGTTTTTTAAGTGCTGACGAATTTTCTTGATTCCCTTCTTTCATCATTCATGGGAAATGGAACAGCAGAGAATTGACATTCTCTTTGAAACAGCGTTAATTAGCTTTAAATAAATAAGTAGAATGTTTTGTCCTGATCGATCTTCTTTTTGTTAGTACTTATTTTAATAGGATAAAAAAAAAAAGTCTTTAATTTGAAGGGATTCAGAGCTAGTTTTTCTTTCTTTCTAGAAGTTGATGTAATGTATGAGTACCCAATAAAAATTGGTGTTCCGTTCCACACAATTAGATTAATTTATGAATGGCTTAAAACCTGTAATTATATTTATGAATGTATCACCAATAAGAAATTTTAATATTGCAGGTCGACAACAGTAACTAATCTCCTCATTCATGGTTGGCACTTCGATGGTTCGACAATACGAAATTCTTTAGTTCCAAATGAGGGCCTTTGCCTAATTAATTTCATGGTTTAACGTACGATTCCGTTATTTTCTTCCCGTAGTGATTTTTCTCCCTATCAAAAAATAAACAACATTTTTAACAAAAACTTGTCTTTTATTTTCTCCATAATAAATTTACAACACTAATTTTATAATGAACATATTATTTTGGAATAATGGAATTCGTTGGAATAAAAGAATTAATTTAAAACTGGAAAAGGAAAAGAAATTATATAAAACTGGAAAAGAAAGGATGATATCGATATAATAACATCACTTTGCTTAGAAGCATAAGATGTCTGCCTAAGATGGCCTCTCTGTCTGATTCCGAAAGATAAAATATATATATATATATATATATATAATAACCAAAAAACACCTTTAGCGTGCATAACTTTTGTATTCACCTTTTCAAAATAATTGTCATTATTTTATTAATTCAACTAATAAAATAATCACATTGGGTCGAAATTAAGAGCTCTTCTTCTGCCTACAAATAAATAATTTCCACATCTTAGTTGAACTTCTCACGATGTCTTAATTGATTAATAACAACGTTAATTATTCATGGATCATCTTCCAATCCAGTTTACATACTAGTATTTACAAAGTTGCTTTATAATAAAAGAAACCATGATGATGTTTGGGACTTACCGGAGTAACAAGCTAGCTAGTTTTTAATACAATGCTAACACGTACCATAATAAATCATACTCTCTCATGTCCTTAATATAAAATATTTTGATTTGTCTTAGGTTTCACATAAAATATATTTTTAATTAAAAAAATCTTAAAATATATTTTCACATTCATTGAGTTCTCTTGATTGTTATAAATATTTTTAAGATTTTTTTGTCAATTAAAAATGAGTACTAGATTAAATCTAAGATAAATCATAATGGCTTATGTTAAGGACCGGAGGGAGTAATATGTTTTGTAACCATTAAATATTTTTTCACTTTTTTTTTTCTCTAGAAGACATGGCAACAACTTTAAGAAGAGAGTTTGGAAAGCTATTATTTAACTGAAGACGGTAAATCACAAAATCTCCTACATATAAAAACATGTGATGCCTAGGACAAGACGTCAAGTAAGAGTCAAATTTACTCTACGATAAACATGTTTTGTTTGTCGACATTGTAAAATTTGACCAAGTATTAAAAATTTTGGTGATAAGTACGTACTCATAGTACTAATCAATATCAAATGTAATATTCCCTATATTTCTGTGATCATTTTAGATAATGCTTTAAACTTTTAATTAAAGTTAATATAAATCCCGAAAGACCTAACTAACAAATGTTACACAACTTATTTTTGCCATTGAAATATACTCTTTTTTTTTACTCGAAGTTAAAATTTAGTTTGTTGAAATAAAACAATAAGATTCAAGTATTAAGGGGTTGACTCGAACGTAGGTTTTCGAGTTGGATTCACTATTAGATGTGAGTTATGTTGGGTCATCTCGACTAAGTTGGGATTGGACTATGACGAGATATCTTTGTTACAGGATATAATATCTCAAATTGTTAAGAGTTTGTCTTTTCATATCAATACTGTTATTTTTATCATTTTGCTCACGCTCATGTGTGGTAGCTTAGTAATTTAGACCTTTCAGCCTCCTTCATTGTATATATAGAAAAAAAAATAGTAAGATTCAAAAAGGACATTAGGAAGAAGGGGTTTTTTTTTTAAAAAAAAATAAAATAAAATAAATCGCTATCATCTTACGGGTAGTGTTTAAAAAATAAAAAATTACTATCGGTTTAAGTGTATAATTTACCAATTTGAGCATTCAAACTTCAAAAGAGAGACTAACTATAAATAATACTACTATTCAGATCATCAGTTGACATTGACCATTTCTTCATGAGTTTGATGCCTTTCCAAGAACTATCTTGATTTGGTTAGGAACCAAAAGAATTCAATGTTAATCTCTTCAGAGTATGTCACCCTTCTTAAAAATGAAAACTTGCTGATGATAAAAAAAAGAGGGATGTTATAACAACAAAACTTATTTAATGTGAAAAAAAGGACAAGGCCAATTAATACAAACGTAAGCTAAATTGAACGAAAATATAATGCCAAATTAAGTATGAGTAAGAAGTCAAAATACTTGATTTCTGAGCCCCTGAGCATTTAAATCGACATCAACTTTGCGTTAAATCTGCGTCAATATTTTCCATTTCCAAAAAAAAAAAAAAAAAAAGAAGAAAAGAAGATTTTACTTTGACTATTTGTTATAAAACAGAACATCATTATAATTAATTCTAGTTGAACAATTCATGAAGAAATTAAAATTTGTAAGCACTTTCATCATTCTGATTACGACAATATACACTAGTAGCATGCACCCACATGCAGTTACAAAAGAAAAAAAAGAAGAAGCTAAAGCTATAGAAAATTAATTAACTTAGATATATAAAATTAAAGGCAACTTAAATATTTTATGTTATACCCACATGGATGTAATCATTCCTATATATGATACTTAAATATGATTTATTTTTGGAAAATTTATTTGGTGTATCCGACTGAATGGTATAATCAAGAATCTAAAAATATCGATGATTTTTACTTAGATGGAAATGGTGACCTATTCACAGTCTTTTGTGAAATTAAACCCTCTAGTTTTTTTTTTTTTTTGGTAGTATAATTTTTTTTTGGAGAAAAATAAACTTAAATAGGTCTGTTTTTTTGGGGCATAGCCATAGCCCATCACTATCAAATGTGAGTGTTTGGATTTTCAGTGACCCCATTTTCCGTGTTGTCTTCAAAATTAAAAAAAAATAGGGTTTAATTAAGATGCCGAAACCTTTTTAATAAATCCTTAAAAACTAAAAATAGCTAATACAAAATTCCCCTTAGAATAAGACCCGATGAAGAAAGAACAGAGAAGCCTTCATTTTAGGCGACAATAATAGGATTTTTAGCAGCAATCTTAGATGAGAGACGAATGTTCTACAATCCACATTATTGACAAAATAAACTAAAGAGGGTTGTGATCTGGAAAAAGGTAAAAAAAAAGTCACTTGTTTTTGTGGCGTGTATATTTGTGTACGTATCAATGGTGGAAATTTTGGTGCTTGGCTTTTCCACTCCGAACTAGTGTGTCATATTCACCTTTTTTCTTTCTTTCTTTCTTTCTTTTAATCTTATGGTGTGTTTACATTTATACATCTTCTGTTGTGTTGCATGAACTCAATCAAGATCAGTTTTTTTCTGGCCTTTTGTTGATTCCGGCATCTGGGTTTTTTTTGTTTGCCAATCTGGGTTGAGCGTTGCTGCATTTTGGTCATTTTGGGGTTCCAATTTTGTTTCAGTTACAAGTTTTTGGTCTAAAACTCTTAAAAGGGTCATCAGTTATCACAGTATTTTATAGTTTCTGGTGAGAGGCTGATTGGTGGAGAATTGAGATAATTTGGTTGCTGAAAGAGCATTTTGATTGAATCCCGAATTTGGAAGTGGTATTGCCATTAGCAAAAGGATTGTGCTTTTTTTGGGACAAATTTTTCTGGATTCAAGTTCTTATATTATAACCGACAGTTGCAGAATATTCCGAAGGGAGCAGTAATTTCCATTATCTTCTTTTGGGGCGTTATTTTTGGGGCGTTATTGTTGACCAACCCAGGGAAAATGGGGAGAAGCCATCAAGACTAAGCAAAGCCATTGATATTGGTTGAAGCAATTCTGAATTTTTGTTGATTCAATTCTTGGATTGAATTGAATTGATATCTTTGGTTGAAGGAATTCTGGAGTTTTTTTTTTCCTCTTTTTTTCTGGGTTTGATAAACATCATCATCATCTCTGTTAATGGTTCTGCTTTTTGAAATGTCAACATCATTTGTTTATATTTAGATGGTGTTGAGAAGAATTTTGAGATGTCAGCCATATCTCCATCTCCAAATTCCACTCCATCCATTCCGCCACCACCTTCATCCTCTCCTCCGTCCTCTTCCCCTCCTCCAATTCTCCAGTCACCGGTTTCTCAACCAACTCTTACATCACCACCTCCTTCTCAGCCCAATTCACCACCACCTTCTCAATCACCTCCTCCTGTTGTAGTAGTACAACCTCCTATGGCCGCCGCTCCACCACCTTCTACTACAGTTCCACCCCCGGTTTCCACTTCTACTCCGCCACCAACAACATCTAGCCCACCTCCAATTTTACCTCCTCCATCGGTTGTACCTGTATCTAGCTCACCACCACCACCTCCTCCGGCTATACCACCCACTGCTTCACCGCCACCTCCATCTACTAATCCTCCGACAAGCTCACCACCTCCACCATCCACCGATCCTCCTGTGAGTTCTCCTCCACCGCCTGCAAGGCCACCTGAGAATTCACCTCCACCGCCTTCTTCCACAGAGCTACCAATAGCTTCACCGCCTCCACCAGCATCAAGGCCACCTGAGAATTCTCCTCCACCTCCAGTTGCTAAACCTCCGTCGCGTTCTCCGACACCTCCTGCCGCATTACCTCCCAGTAATTCGCCTCCTCCACCGGTCTCAACCACACCTAAGAACTCTCCTCCACCTCCTGTGCTGACCCCTCCTACTAGGACTGTAAGATTGTCGCCGCCGCCGCCAGCTGCCATTTCACCCCCATTGCCTCCTTTTTCTACTCCTGGCACTCCTCCGAATTTTAACACATCTAGCAGTAATGCGCCGGATAGTTCAGGATCATCAGGCGGGGGAGGCATTGGAACTGCAGGGACTGCTGCTATTGGTGTAGTTATTGGTCTTATTTTGCTCGGTGTGATTGGTGTAGCCATCTGTTGTGTATGGAAGCGAAAGAAAAAGGCTCCAAAAGGGGATATTTTACCAACTTCCATCGGTTCTTCTCCAAAATCAGGTATGATTTTAATATTACTACTTTATACTTTTCGCTCGTCTGTCAATTATCAACTGCATTTGTTGATTTTAGTTTGTCAAAGGATAATGTGCTCTTGCCAAAATTGGTACCTAAACTACTTGCCGCTCTTTGTACTTTCTATCCAGACTCTGGCTTATTAGATGTTGGGAAATCGACCCCTCGTGCTGGAAATGGTTCTGGGAGTAATTATGTTTATTCACCTTCCGAACCTGGAGGACTTGGAAACTCAAGATCATTGTTCAGTTATGAGGAATTAATGGCTGCAACAGATGGATTTTCTTCCAGTAATCTACTAGGGGAAGGCGGATTTGGGTCTGTTTATAAAGGGTGTTTGATGGATGGCAGAGATGTTGCAGTGAAACAACTAAAGACTGGTGGAGGTCAAGGGGAGCGAGAATTTAGAGCTGAAGTTGAGATTATAAGTCGCATTCATCATCGGCATCTAGTATCACTCGTGGGGTATTGCATTTCCGATAGTAGAAGGCTGCTCATTTATGATTATGTTCCGAACAACACTCTTTATTACCACCTTCACGGTAACTTGCATTTTTATGATCTCAAAAATGGGAATTCAATACTTGACAGAGATCGTTACTATTGACGATGCTAATATTCCTTGTATTTTCCAGGGGAAGATAGGCCGGTTTTGGACTGGACAAGGCGTGTTAAGATTGCTGTTGGTGCTGCTCGTGGATTAGCATATCTCCATGAAGATTGTAAGTGATTCTATTATTCTTTGGCCTTCTTTCGCTTCTGAATCATCTTATGTTTTTCTTCTTTTTTTTTTAAAAAAAAAACAAATAATTTACAACTCTGACATGCTTATCCTATTTTCCTGCATTTATTACTTTATATCATTTGATCCCCTAAAAGAAAAGTACTCCCAACAGCACAAGAGTCGGAGTATCATTTATCTCATACTCTTTTTACCAAAGTAAACTTCTGTCCATGGTTTTATCATGTCCAAACCCCAAACTGAATAGATGGAGTAGGAAAGGTCCCATTTTGTGTTTTAAACTCCTATAAAAAATTATTTCTTTGTAGTTTTAGTGGCTAAATCTTTGTGTATTTCCTTATCCGTTGCCTGTGACTGACATGATGAGACAAATTTAGTTTAATGTCACAAGGAACATCAGCTTTTTGTGTCTTATAATATTACTTGACCGCTGATGCTGATCTTGTCAAATTCTGTTACTCACCTTTTGGTTTACATGACAGGCCATCCTCGAATTATCCACCGAGATATAAAGTCATCAAACATTCTGCTAGATAACAATTTTGAAGCTCGGGTATGCACTTCATATCACTTCTTCATGTTTTTGGCGTGGTTTTGTTACTTTGACTGATAGCTTTACTATGCTTGCAAAAACACAGGTTTCTGATTTTGGACTTGCTAAATTATGTCAAGATGCCAACACTCACATCAGTACACGTGTTATGGGAACATTCGGGTATTTTAGTACTTCATTTAGGAGACTTGACAATCTTTCATTTTGGCAGCTTCGAATGTATGTGGTAATGATACTTACTCACCTGCCTGTGTGAAAAACAGATACATGGCTCCTGAATATGCTTCAAGTGGAAAACTGACGGACAAGTCTGATGTCTTCTCTTTTGGAGTTGTTCTTCTTGAGCTAATTACTGGACGCAAGCCTGTTGATGCATCTCAACCTCTGGGTGAGGAGAGCCTAGTTGAGTGGGTAAGTTGATTGGACATCTCGTTTCTTTATTCCATATTTAGTTTAAGCTGGATATAAGTATGTTCATTTAATGCAATAAGCGGTGACATCTCGGGTTCTATATTTAACTTTCTTAGTTTCAACTCCATTACGTGTTAGTGCAATAGTATTGTTTTGAATTTGCGAAGTTTCTTTTTTTTTACTGTTTGGTGCCATTAATCACGCTCCGTGTTTTTCTTCTAGAGTTGTGTAGTAGTATAATGCTCAACATGTGTTTGAAGGAAAGGAATTATGCCTTTATCTACCGTCAGGCTTTTCATTCATAATGAGGTTCTGACTTGGGAGGCCAGTAAAAGCATAGGATTAAGAAGTGCAACTTGAGTGCTTAGATCGAGAGTAGATTGCTCTATTCATTTAGAGTATGTATTCATTTGAGGGTGTCTGTTTAGCAATTTTGAATTTTTGCATTCCCGGGAAGAGGACCTTCGATATCTTTGCCTTGGAATCTAATAGTGATGTAGTAGATATGGCTTACGACTTTGCTTGGGGACAGATGATTCCCCTTCCGAATGCATATTTTAGGAGTAAATATTTTTTGCTTTCCTGCTGACCTATTTTATCTTTAGGCTGATAAAGAAGTAAAAGCACTTGAGATTTTGCTGGAACAACTTTAATGTTTTATCCTAAAATTCAAACTTGTATCAGAAAATTCTAGGTCACGATGCTTTGTCTTCGAAGGGTTTTTAGCTTTTCTTTCCGTATCTCAAAACTCATCTTTTCATCTTAATACAGTACAAAAGATCCAAGGTTTAGGTTCTTTTATCACAAGCTCTTCCCGTAATTTTTCTTGATTCGGGGAATTTTCTATATTTTTACCGTGCTGGGCCAATGGAAATTTGTTTGTCCTCAAGTATAAGACTATAAGCTCTTTCCGGCAGCATTTCTAGATCGTCTATTTTCTTCATGTGTTTTAGATTCTGTGGCTCTATTTTGTCAGACCTGTAATAGTGTGCTGGGATACTAACTACGAGGATAAACAAAATAAACAAGGATCCTAGAAATGAGTATGTTGAAATGGAAGGGCAGATGCAAGATGCTAGACTAGATTGAATCTATAGTGAATGCATTTCAAAGAGAATAGGAGTAGCCCCAACAAGCTAAAAAAGTGAGAGAACACTGTTAAGGGGAAAAAAGGGGTCCTGAAAACATAACATTTATTCGAAAGAAAGTATAATAAAACATTATCTATTTTTAACTAACTATATGCTACATAGGTTGGCATGTATGTTTACAACATAGGATGGCAAGGTATGATCTGTTCCTTGCAGCTTGCCAGACATTGTGGTATAAAGGCATGATCATTGCTTTTGCTGTTGTTGAGGTCTCCTTGACAGTTGTTTCAATTTGATGACTAAGAACAATTTTGTAGCATTTATTTGCTATGTCTCTGTTGGTTTGTTCATCTGCTGACATAATAGATTCCTCTGCCAGGGTCGTCCTCTGCTTAGTTATGCTCTTGAGAAACAGCAGTTTGATGAATTGGTTGATCCGAGACTTGAGAAGAACTATGTTGATACTGAAATGTTTAGGCTAATTGAAGTTGCTGCAGCTTGCGTACGTCATTCATCGGCAAAGAGACCACAGATGGGACAGGTAAGCACATTTCTTGTTGTTGGTATTTTTATATACCTTTTTTTCATCATGCATACAGGGAGGATTTCATATTGCTAGTTCTCTCATGGTTCTCCCTTATGCAGGTTGTGAGAGCTTTTGATAGTCTGGCTGCTGCAGATTTGACAAATGGGATGAGAGTTGGTGAAAGTCAGATATTTAACTCTGCACAACAATCTGAAGAAATAAGATGGTTCCGACGGATGGCATTTGGTAATCAAGATATCAGCACAGATTTTTTCAGTCAAGCCAGTTATAGGTGACCAGATTCCGGTAAATATAGGTAGATCTCAGTTCATTGACAGTCTGGAGGGCAACCTCTAACCAAGTCCCGGCAGAGGTACTGTTATGTTGCAGACGGCCCAAAATGTATATTTTTGGTAGTTGGTTAGATTCCGTAAATAGTCCTTTTTGACTTGCTCCTATTGATATGTACCTATAGGTTCAATTCCATATATGCAGTGACTATTCTTTGCAACACTGTAAGTACGTGACGATTTTGGTTCCTACTGTTATAATGAATCCATCAAAATTTCAAGATTTCTGTGGAACCGTTCCTTGGTTGAGTTGTGCAATCTTTTATCACGAGTATGTATGTATGTCTATCATCCTTCAACAATTGTTGGGTTCCTTTTTTCCCTTCTTTTTTACCCCCCTTTTCTTCCATGATTATTATAACGGATAACATGCATGTTTGGAAACAGCATTTTAACTTCACATGAGATTCTCAGCTCCAGGGAAACAATTTGACATGACAGTTTTTTGGAGCTTCTGTGTCAATCTGTTCATGACTTTAATGATGAATTGATGAAAAAGTTGCAGATTTCTTATCTTCTTCTTCTTCTTTTTTATTTTGTGGGTGTCAGGGGATAGACGTTGCATGTCGTCGAATTTAGGACTGGTTTTTTGGTGTTTGTGGGCAATTGGGCAACCAATTTGTTCACAATCTAGGGGGGGAATACAAAGCTTGAAAATCCCTATTATCTTCTTCAGAAAAGTGCATACAAGGACATGCATGGTGCTAAATGTGAGACATGAAAGAACGTGGGGCTGCTGTGCTATAGCTATTGGTCTAGACTCTACACATGAAAGCATCTGTAAATTGAAACCTATTCTTCCCCCAGCAATAATTGAAATGCTTTCTTATTTCCTTTCCATTTTCTGGTTAAAAAAAGCTCAATGGTGATAACATTGTAAAGGGGGTTCATCTATAGAAAAGAAACCACTCATTCTTTAAACTTCCATTTTAGCTGTTTAGTCGTTTTACAAACTTTAATGGTTAATTTTACCTGTCCATTGGTAAAGGGATGCCAATAATTTATACTCTTTCCGTCCGAACAAATAGAACAATCATTTTGGGACAATAGACTGCAAAGATCAGTTGATTGTTGAAAAACCCAAATGAGAAAGAGAAAAAAGTGCTACTATATAGCTTCCATTCAAAGAGAAGTTAAGCAAGGAAATTACACAAGGAATCTTGAAATGTAGAATGCAAGTAATTAGGCTTAAGACAGCTTTGTGTTGTCCTCTGGAAGCTATACCCCAATTTCTGTTCCACCTGTGATGAAAGCCAAATGTGCTACAATGAAGGCACATGCCCTAGTTTTGAAGTCAATGACTCATAATCACCTCCTTTTAAGCATTTGTAAAAATGAGATCTTTATTGCTTCACATTTCACTATACTCTTTCAAGTTCCAAGAGAAAAGGGGAGCTTGTTATTATTGTTATTTCTTAACCAAGAATATTAAAAACTCCATCAATGGTTTTCTTCACCTTCTTTCCTCCCCTTCTTTCCTTCCTATTATTGCTAAGCAATGGAAGACCTCAACACCATAGCAGCAGATTGCCTTGTGATATCTTGTTGCTGTCAGTGTTTGATCCTGCAAATCCTTATCATCATCTTGCTTAAACTACCATACAAACTCTTCCGAAAGGCGATAAGTTACACGAAGAAGAAGCTGAGGAACAGGAGGAAGAGAGGAGGGAAGATTAATCTACATACAAAAAGGAAAAGAAGATTGATCCATGACAACAACAGCCCTTTTAGAACTGCTCATGATCAGGAAATTGCTTCCTCCTCAAATGATGATCATGATGAGTGCCAACAATTTGAGAGTTGCATGGATGAAATTGAGAAGGTTTTGGAGGATTTTTGCCTTAGGGGTGAATTTGGGTTTGGAAGATTCTTGGGTGGTGGAGATGAGGAAGGCTCCTGTGTTGGGAGCTTTCCAACATGTTTAGGAAATGGAGTGATTAATCATCAAGAACTTGACTATGATGTTGTTAGTTATCATTTGATTCAAATGTTTGGATCTTGCAATGTCACAGATCAGTCTTTGATCCATTGAATGATCTTATTATTCTAGAAATATATTGTCACAAGATATGTTTCTGATTACTTGCTCCATATTTTTTTAATAAGGAGCATTGGAAAAGTTCTCAAGGGGGAAAAAAAACAATAAAATTCACTTGAAAGGGAAGAGAATGGCCACTGTTTGTGCTATTCTTTTCCACATTTGCGAATAGTTTCTTGTACCTCTTAATTGGTCGAGAGTTCGATTCTTATGAATGTCATAATATTATTGAAGTGAAATTATCTTACCGTGTAATAAGCTTGTCCTAAAGTAAAACCCATAAAATGGAGAGGGGAAGAACACAAAAACTTCACTAAGCGGATTATCCACATAATTGCCAAGAGGGACATTGCTCCTTTATCCATCTTGTCCTTTTAATTTTAGATAAGAATTGTGTATTATTTAGGTTTGTCATTGTCAATTAAGATTCCATCTCTATGATCCAATTAATGAGATAGTAGTGATTAAGATGGTTGTTCTTGAAGCTGGCCAGTTCGTCAACTTTCCCGTCTCATCAAACTTGTCCTCATCATTTCCACTTCAAGTAAATGGACTAAAAAGTGTAAATAGTTTGTCAAGAAAATCGAATTTCAGTTCTTAATTTATTCCAAATGCAAGTTGTTTTTATTTTATTTTTTATTTTTTTTTAAAAAATTTTATGCAAAGACCTACTATATATACACTGAAATAGTTGTACAAAGAAATCTTGCCTCGCGACTCAAACATCATTACATCAATATCACTTCACAAATTTTCACAAAGAAAAAGAAGGTACCAACAACGATCAATAAATTTTCTTTTTTTTTTTAAAAAAAAAAGATTTGTTTCCCTAAGTAAATATGATTGTGAAAATTTTTAGAAAAATGACCATTTTAAATATTTGGTAGACTTAATTTTTCTTTCGATGAGGTATACGAAAATTAATTTCTCAAAAAAAAAAAAAAAAACAAAACAAACAAACAAAGAGAAAACAGCACTCCTTTGGTTCCAAATTGTTAATTAGCACAACAAACGGTCCAACGGAGCCCCGGGCAAGAATTGAAATTTCTCTACAATGCGTTCAGATAGGCAAGTAGACATTTGTTTTGGTCAATTTTTATTTTATAACAAAGACAATCTATAGGAGTTATACCAAAGACTTGGTCACATGCAAACCAATTAAAATACAAGATACAAACGAATAATATATGCCCAAATAGAGTGACCAAAAACACGTCATTGTGATAAATGATCAAAGTTTACAAATGGATTCCCTGCTATTTTTCCATAATGACATGGTTAGCCTCTATAGTTTGTCAAAAGTGTAAACTCTGCCTATAATAGTATCCTATCACGAACAGATCCATCTTTGAGATTAAATCGGATTTTTTTTTATAAAAAAAATGTCATTATACGTATGTGATTCTCATTAAAGGGTAAAACAAGTAATAAAACTTTTAACCTTGTTAAACAGATCTTGTTAACATTACAAATCTTGTTATATAGTACTATACTAATTTTCCTGATCATGTTTGTAAAGTAAATTTAAGTTGCATTGGAAATAATGCAAGGTATGGTAGTTAGTACTTAGTACTAGCCCTGGTCCTAAACTTTAACCAAATGGATCTCCAATTTCATCACCTCTAGTCAAATTTCAAAATACCAATTGGGTTGAAATTTAAATTTATGTGGGACCAAAACTAGAATCTAAAATGTAAATGGAGGAATCTCACTTGTAAATATCCAAAACATGAGGGAAATTTGAGCAATAAAAAGAAACATTGAAATACATTTCTCTCAAAACCAGTTTTTTCTGATTTCTTCTTTGTGCAAAAAACCATGGATTTCTTCTACATTTGGGAACATGTCCAAATCATTCAATTTGCAGAAACCACAACCACCCCACATATCAAACTAATAATACTAACACATTAAAGATTTCTTCACTGGAAAAAATTGACATCAATTTTCTCCTTTTTTCTTTTTTTTAGTTTTTCTTTTTCCCTTCTTCTTCTTCTTCTTCCTGGGTTCTTCGTTCTTTCGTTCTCCTCATCCTTACCATCATCTATAATGATGGCTAAGCTTCAATCAGATCAGATCAAACAACTCAAGGACATATTCATGCGGTTCGACATGAACCAGGATGGAAGCCTGACCCAATTAGAGCTGGCGGCCCTTTTGCGTTCTCTCGGGTTAAAGCCCACCGGAGACCAAATCTACGATTTGTTGAACAACATTGATGCCAATGGCAACGGCCTGATTGAATTCGAGGAGCTGGTTGAGGCGATTCTGCCCGACATGAATGAGGAGGTTCTGATCAACCAGGAACAATTGATGGAGGTTTTCCAGTCGTTCGACCGGGACGGAAACGGGTTCATCACGGCGGCGGAATTGGCCGGGTCAATGGCGAAGATGGGTCACCCGCTGACGTATAAAGAGCTCACGGAGATGATGCGTGACGCCGACACCAACGGGGATGGCGTCATCAGCTTCAACGAGTTTGCTAGCATTCTGGGCAAATCTGCAAACGATTTCCTTGGCCTGACCGTTTCCTGATGAAAAGGCAGGGGATCCGAACCCCTTTTTTTACTAATCCGGGTTTGTGTTTCGTCAATGTTGCTTTTTTTTTTTTTCTGTTAATTTGATATTCATCGAAGGGGGAAAAAAAAAAAAAAAGCAATTCGTATTTGTATCGTTTATCATCATCGTCAAGAAGAAGCATTTGTCATTTTGAGTTGATTAGTTTGGCAGAATGATCAAATTCATGATTCGTTAGGCCTAATTTGACCACTTTGGTTTTCTTCTTCGGTGTTTCATTTTTTTTTTTTTTTTGGATTAGGGTTTGCTAATTTCTCTCAGATTGGGGTACAAAAAATATAGGATCATGTGTACATAGTAATTTCGAAATCGAACCATGATATTGTTTGGTTCCTGATTCAGTTTGCATGTATCATTAAATCATTCATTAAACAGTGTCGGACAGGGTAATGTCTTTTCCTTAGACATGTTTCAAGTTTGAGCAAGTATGAACAAACTATTACCCTCCTATAGTTCTTTCTTATGGTGATGTAATTTACTACTTGCTTTCATAGTTCGTAAATACCATTAATTAAATTGTTGTTTGCCATCCTAATTCCCAGTAAAGTTGGATTAATTTCATTGTTAGAGTAATTCTTAGGGTGATGCCAATTACTTGATGTAATATTTTTTATTTTTAATATATGGTATGGTGTTCATCAATGTAAGATCCTAATTTCACACGAGATTTGGTTATTGAAGTACAAAAACAAAAACAAAAAAAAAAAATCGAACACAATAAGAACACAACTTCTTTTAGAATGTCTATGGCTATATGCGCTTAAACAAAACTCTTAAATTTATGACTAAATGCGAGTGAAACAACAATTTCAAATCAATTGTATACTCTACCTCTAATTTTTTATTGGCACTCTTGGTATCGAAAACCACCTAGCATATTGTTATATGCTACTTAATTACTAATCTCAATAATTTCACATCATTTTTAAGATTATTAGCCAAATTGAACTCAACATAATAATTATGTGAATCATGCGAACAATCACTCAATTTCTCGTATTTTAAAACAAAATCAAGGGCTCAAACCTAAAGCCCTTTTTCGGGTTTTCCCTTTATGGAAGAAATTACAAATTTATATATCTATATATCTATCTATTTATATACTATACTAAGGCAAAAATCAGAGAGAGAAAACTAAAAGCATTTTCTTAATTTCTTAGATTTAAAAATACACAAAACAAAATAATAAAACAAAAATAAAGCAACTAAAATTTAAAATGTCATTTAAAAAAAAACAAATTCCTGTACAATTGAGCCTCCACCCTGGCGTCCATGATAATCCCTCAACACAGTTCGACATAGTTGGGGTTACACCATACTACAACACTTGTAAACCTGTGCATCGTCAATCCATCCATCTACACATAAATACTGATTAAATATTATTATTATATTCATCCCATTTTATAATTAAATGACCTAATTATACCTAACAAATTTTAGAGAGATCTGCATAAACCTTATCACCAGTGAATTTAAAATGTCATTTTAAAAAAAAATAAATTCCTGTAAATTTAGAGGTAATCATGTGTAAAACTGAAATCATTACATAATTTATAAAAATACAAAATTTATGTAATTTATAAAAATACAAAATTTATGTAAAAATGTCTAAATGTGTATGCTTTCCCGTCCATCGGACGGGTCTAACACCTAACAAGTAAGTAAATAAACAAATGGTTTTTTGCTTTGAAAAACGCACCAAAAGTGTACGTATATCGAATGAATAACACTGCCCCCATTTTGGACCGACCGCCGAAGTAGACGTTAGACCGCTCTCCGACGGCCTAACCATTACGCCTCGAATCTCCCCCATTCGCCGTCTCCGTCACCACCTTGTCCGGCCACGGCATCTGATTCGCAGCCACCTCCTTCGTCAGCGTCGTGTGCTTTTTTCGAACAAAATATCTTCAATCTCCCCGCTACCTCCAACCCCTTGGGAGCTCAGTCTTCTTCTATCAAGACTCCCATAATCTCTGTAAGTTTTGGTGAATTAATGCCTTTCTGAATGTTGGTTACTGAAATAAGTAGTGATTCTTTGCTTATTGAATGTCTTGGGAAATGTATCAGCTTCTCATCGTTCTGGTTTACTTACTATTTTGTTAACTGCAGTTGTCCGTTTTGCTGTTATTGGTAAAAAGAAGATAAAATTATTGGAAACATCTTGCTTTTGTTATCTGTATCTCGTTTGAGTTGTTTATGCTTTGTATTGCTATGGTGGCTGATACTGTTGAGGCTACTGATATTGTTCTTCTCAGCAATTATTTGGTCAAATGTTATTGTTCAATCAGTAGATATGGGCATTTTATCACCATTCACTGTAGTCAATATGCTGAATGCTGGTAATGAAAAGGCACAGCTTGAAAGTTTGAATTATGAGGAGGTAGTGCTCATACTTGAAGACATCATCAAGCATCTTCATTCAGTAGCTTGAAAGTGTAGGACCGTATTGTGTACATGTACCTGTGCCTAGGGGGAGGGGTGTGTGTATCTGTGATTTCTAATGTTCATTTGAAATCCAGTCCTATTTAACTGGTCTATTCATCTCTGATCCTTTATTCCAGTGTTTGAGATGTAATTTTAGCTGATGAGATCATGAAAGTGAGGCTTTTGGGGGTTGTCTGTCTTCCCCTTAATGATTCATTATTGCTATCTCAGGCCACAACTGTCTACCAACTCTACCCTACTCTCTCATAGTCTGAAGTGGGTCAAGGTTGTACCTTGCATGACTAATAACGAATAGTCAGGTTTAGAATACGTGTTGTATATGAAGTTATAGCTACTTATACTAATAATTTTAGGGCTTTGACAATCCTACAGTTCCATCCTGTCAGTTTGATTTTTCATTCCCAAATCGAACCTGCTAGGTATCCCAGTCCTAGAACCATGGTTTCGGCCGTACTTCTTTTCCCATGCATACTTTTTTTTGTCCTTTCAAGTTCTTATTGTTTCTCTTTTTTTTGGTCTGTTGTTAGACCTTTGTATTTGGTGATCAGGTTTGGCTGAGTTTGTTTCTGACCGTTTTAGATTCGAGGCCTGAATTTGACCAGAGTATAATCTGAAGGATTGAAAAAATAGATGGATGAAAACCTGCTGGCACCCATGTAATGTGCCAGTGGTTAATAAATTCTTAATGTCTCATGTCCTTAGGAAACACACTAAAAATGAAACAAAGAAAGACTAAACCATACTAAATCCTATTATTTTTATATCTTCTTCAAACAAAACCTTATAGATAATAATTGTAGATTGAATGTGCTTAACTGTGATTGATGATCTATGTCAGTAAACTGTTGGTTTGTTGGTCTTCCAGGTCCTGGGGAAGTCTATAGACAAAAGAGACCTGAGAAAGGGCCATTTTGTCTTCATTCTCTGTTTCCCTTAGAAAAGGAACACAGATAATGGCAGAACAATGTGTGGGAGCAGTTTTAAACACTCCAAAAACTGTCAATCCTAGACGCTGTTCCTTCAGCCAACTCAACCAACTACACTTTTCATCATCCTTGTGTAAAATGATTCCAAGAAAACCCCAAAGTGGCTCTCTGTCAATTGCATTGAATGCAACATCGTCATCTTCAGCAATGGCATCTAGTCAACATCTTCCACCGCTCTCACTCGAGGCATTGAAAACCAGTGAACGTAGAAATGAAGTCATGGATGCTATTCAGAGGTCAATTGGGAACTGTCTCTCTGAAACGCATCTTGACGTAACTGTTCCCAGTCTCCAATCCAAAACGCGAGGAAAGGTAACTCTTTTTCTTTGCTTTTTTTGTTGTTAAATGGGAGATCTAAGGGAAAACAATGGAGAATCCAATATATGGGTTTCTCATCTGGTTTACCTGTCTTTCTGATCGAGAAATTTTCTGTAGGTCAGGGACATCTATGATGGAGGCGATTATCTTGTTCTGGTAACCACAGACAGACAAAGTGCCTTTGACAGAATTCTTGCGTCAATTCCATTTAAGGGACAGGTTATAATTTGACTTCCTCCTGCTTTTAAATTTAGTTGTAGTCCCAAAACAAAAGGAGGATGCTTGAATATTGTAATTTCATTCCATGACGCTTTTTAATATAGTTGTAGTCCCCAAAAAAAAACAAAAAAAAGGAGGATGCTTGAATATTGTAATTTCATTCCATGACAGGTGCTTAATGAAACAAGTTTGTGGTGGTTTAATAGAACTCAGCACATTGTTCAAAATGCGGTTGTAGCTGCTCCAGACAAGAATGTGACCATTGCAAAGAAATGTTCCGTGTTTCCCGTTGAGTTTGTTGGTGAGATTGTCTTTTAAGTCTATAATGTTGCTAAGAGTCATCTGATTTGAATTCGAATATGTCAGTTGTGCAAGTTGGTTCCTTTTCTGTTAGCAACATAATTAGATATGGCCCTCTTTCACTTGAAAGTTTGTAGTTCGCAACATGATTTGTTTAATAATAACTTCTTTTTCCTTTTGTTTTTTCTCATTTTTTAGTTCGTGGTTTCGTGACTGGAAGCACAGACACGTCATTATGGACAGTCTACAAGAAAGGCACTCGAAACTATTGTGGCAATACTCTCCCTGATGGTGTGGCAGTTTTATACCTACACCTTGATAATTTTTTGTTCTTTGGATTTTATGATGTTTTAACTTTTAACAAAATTGTTTAAGGCATGGTTAAAAATCAGAAGCTACCTGCAAATATTCTCACACCAACCACGAAAGCTGCTGATCATGACGTTCCAGTTACCCCGGATGAGGTTTTCATTTACTAAAGTTTTCAATTTTGTTTTATCCATACCTGTTGATAAGGCATCCTTTTTTTGGGTTTTTGATTCAGAGCAACTTAGAACCATTGGATGTTCAACTACCCTGTGATTGATGTTGAAGCTTTATTTTTCAGATCATTCAAAGTGGTTTAATGACTCAAGCAGATTATGAGGAAGCCAGCGCAAAGGCACTAAAGCTATTTAATTACGGTCAGGTAATCGTTGTAGTATTAGCTTACCAGGTTGTATTCTAATAGTTGAATGAGATACACTCAGGAATAGCAAACTGAACTTCCTCAGATTGCTAAACTTATTTCTTGTCTGGATCATAATTACTTGTTAAGTTGAGATGATGCCCTGTGAATATTTTATCAACCACTCTGGATTGGGTGTAAACTAGAGCAAGTTTGAAGAGGGAGGAGGGAGGGATGTTGTTTATGGTAGATAGGAAAATGCAGCGCTATTGACCTGGGACATGTTTTTTTTCTTTTTGTTTGGCAAAATTTGCACCTGCAGCAAGTAGCAATGCAACAGGGGCTAATATTGGTAGACACCAAGTATGAGTTTGGAAAGGCACCTGATGGTACTATTCTTTTAATTGATGAGGTAAGCCTGCTTTCTGTCCTCTCATATGGACACGCATTTAATCTACTAAAATTTCTTTGTCAGCTTAACTATTCTTTTTTTTTTTTGGTTTGATAATTTAGGTTCATACACCAGATTCGAGTAGATATTGGATTGCTCATTCTTATCAAGAGCGCTTTTGGAACGGCCTTGAACCTGAAAATGTGGACAAGGTTTGTTACTGTTCTGATCCTTTTAAACCATAGAGCTCAGGCAGTCGGTCTAAAAGCTAACCAATGAGCAGGGACAAAATTTACTAGAATATGTGGCTTTTTCTCATGTCCTGTATCATGCTTTCAGTTTTTCTTTGAGCAATGCAGAACTGCAGATGCCTCTCTAATTTCCTTAAAGCTGTAGGGATGCCATTAATTGCATTTTTGGCTTGCCGATTATGAATAATAATAATACTGATACTTTTTTCAGGAGTTCCTAAGGCTGTGGTTTAAAAATAATTGCGACCCATACAAAGATGAGGTAATTCTCTTTAGAAAGGATTGTTTGCTTAATCTGCTTTGAGCTCAAGTCTTACATACCTACTGCTGAACATTGATACTCTCGTTTAGGTCTTGCCTGATGCTCCAGCAGAACTAGTTTCTGAATTAGCTTGGCGGTATGTAAATAGTTCCTCAATGCAGTTGATAGTAACAATATCTTTTATCTTCATTTTTTTGAGCTAAGATGTGAAACAGCTCTCATCCATCGATGTATGGGTTTCTGAAATTTGCCTTAAAATGACAGATACATATTCTTGTATGAGACCATAACAAAATCACATCTTCAGTTGCCTGCCACAGAGGTATGTTCTAGTGAGTTAATTTATTGCTGTTTTCTAATTTCTTGTTACTGTCTATGTCCTGATATTGCTTGTGCACTCATCTAGGAGAATATACATGACAGAATAACCAGAAACGTCACAGAGGCTCTCGCATCTCTCCCGTAGCACTAGTGTAACAAGGGCTTCTTTTTTTTCTTTCGTTTTTCAGAAACAAGGGCTTGTCAAATAACAATGTGGCATGTCACTGGGATCAGCAAGGACCCGGGGACCCGCTGGTCCCTTAGTCTAATGGTCTTGTAATCTTCTGGTTGCTAGAAACAGTTGTACAGATTTTGTTAGTTTACCCTTTAAGAAGTTAGAATATTTGCCTTCTATTACAATACAGCTTAAATAGCTCCCATTCAATGCTAATTTTTACATATTGCTAAAATAAATCTTTGTAAAACATTTAGTCACAAAATGAAAGAATTTTTTTTCCCCTCAAATTTTGTGATTAGGGACCCTCTTTTAACAGGGAAATAAAGGAATTAATGCTAAGAAAGCAGCAGTGTTAAGCACACTAAGAAGAAAATTACTCCTCTGTCTCAAAATTATTGTCCACTTTGAGATTTCACTTTTAGTACAATTTGAACTAAAAATTAACTGAACAATAATTATGGGACGGAGGGAGTAATTAAGATGGAAAATAAGAGTTGAAAAAGATGGATAAAATGCCTACAAGAAAATTGTAGGTAGAAAGTACATATGCAAAATCCGTGTCCGTATATTACTTCTCAATCTCTGAGAGAGAGAGATAAAAAAAATTTCCTCATCGTACAGAATGTTTCAACATGATTTACAACACATGGGAGACCAAGCTAAACACGAAGAGCCCGCTCCTGGGAAGAGACTAGCTTGCTAGTAAAATCTCTTCCCTCAGAAAAAGAATCCGAATTCTCTACCTTAAATTCCTTCTGTACGACGTAGATACCCAATAATTTACATAAAAAACACATTTAAAAGAATAAACATATTGCGGCACCCTATGGCTAATTAACACATTTACAAGCTGTTCGGGCCTGCTTCTGCTGCAACATCTCATTCAAAGTGGATGTTGTTTCTGCTTTAGACTTCCTGATGATCTTCAGACCCGGTGGCAGCTCTGGCCGAAAAAATTTAGAGACAGCCCCAGTATAATGTACAACAGATTACCGATGCACCTGGATATGTAATGTCTGTGTTGTTGTTTGCCTCTGACTGTCAAGTGGATTTGTTCTCGCCATAGAGCGAGCTGTGAAACCAACAGTTGTGGGACGTATTGACCTCTGTCGAACCATATTGCAGTACTCAGGGTCGTTCGTGTGTCCCTCATGCCTAATCCACTGTATCATCCCATGGTACATGGGGAAGAACCGCATTTGAATTGAATTGTATGAAAAGTATGGTATCAGAGCTGAGATAACCACAAAGAGTGTAACTATCCAGTACATGGGGGCTGGAGCTAGCGCTTCGACAAAGACCTTGTATGCTGTGGTTGATATGGTGGGAGGCATGGCTCCATAAGCCAGAAGGAAAAGATACCATAAAGCAATGCCACCCCAAATGAAGATGTGCTGTATCAAAGTGAAGTAACTCACAGCTAGAGCCATCTGAGTGTTCACAACCCAGACGACGCATGTGTACATGGTTGTACCAAGAATTTCAAATCCAGCTACTTTTCCATCCTTCTTAATGGCTTGTGGATCAAGCGCTGTGATGCAGAGATAGAAGATAATCACAGCACTGCAAACGCCATTGAACATCCATCCGATTATTCGACGCCAGCTGAAAAGAACATTCTGTACACCTTCTTGATACAACAACGGAAACTGCAAAAGATTTCGAAGGAATCTTAGAATCTGGATTCTGTACGAGACCATAAAGGAATGATACAGTAGCAAGGATTAAATTAAGCAGATTTGATTAGGTATTTAAGCTTCACACTATGCCAGTCAGTAACTTCTATTAGAACCATCTTTGCCTTGGCGAATCATAGTCAACACCTTTGGACTACACTTGCGTGTAGAGTAACACAGTTCAACATCTTCTATGAGAGATTATGGATTCATCAAAATATGTAATAAATATAGATAGCTTAGGATGAGAAATATACCTTAAGACAAAATCGAGCAGATACATCTTGGTCAAAAACACCCAAAGCAATAACAGGAAGTGATGTGAAGAAGACATTGTAAAGTGACAAGAACCAGTCGTTGTAGGCAGGCTGCCCAGAGAAGGATGCGTAGGCTTCATATAAGAAAACGGTAAAGCCAAATACGATATTCTTGTAGAAGAAATAACAAATCTGCAAAAGAAAAAGATCATATTAAATGATTGAAGTTTCGCAATTTGGTAGAAAATAAATTATTAAACTTTGATGAGTTTATCACAAGCTGATGATCCTTACCATAGAAGAAATCCTCCGGTAGCACCAGTGCCCATGTACCAAAAGCAAGCGCTCCAGGTATCGAAATTGTGCAATTGCGACGTCACTAGACATAACAGCCTGAAAAATGCCGAGGACCAGAAAAGAAAAACAAATTAGCATTGATGTGATGAATATCGACAGAAGGGGAAGAGTTCCTAGATTATAAGCTCTATACCTGCATTCCTTCAACACCACTGATACCAATTCCAATATCAGCTTCTTGAAGCATTCCTACGTCATTGGCTCCGTCACCAATAGCTAAGGTCGTCTTCTTAGTTCCAGATTTAACAAGTCTGGTAACCTGTATGAAGGAGTTGCTTTTAGCATCAATATTGAGTCCTTAAAGAAAATATGTACCAGACAAATTTCAGGATAATATGGGGTTACATCAGATAGCACGGATCACATATTCATGAGAAAGAATGGTCATTTGGGTAGTAGATTGACTCTGAACTCACCAATGCTTTCTGCTTTGGTGATGATCGACAACATATAACAGATGCACAACTCAATGCTAGTTCCAAAAACAAGTTCTTCGTGTCATCTTCAAGTGCGTATGCAAGAGATTTTCCGTCAATTATCAAAGCGCAAGCATCGGCACTTGATTTAACCAGAGCTTTTCCCTCAGTAATCTGACGTTCAATACTAGCCTTCGAAGCCTGCAAATAAAATATTAAGTACCTCGTTAGTACCATTAAATGCAGTCAAGATATAATTTAATACACACTAATTCAAAACAAGCTCATCCATAAGTAAAGTGATGGCCTAAAAATTATATTGTACCTTGGAAATAGCTTGCTTGTCATCTCCCTTTTCAAGAGCCATGATTTCAGGAAGCTCAAGGGTTATGGTTATTTGCTTCATTCCTTGTCTAAGCAAACTACAAGCATAACTGTATGACAGATTTTCAAGGAGCTGGAGTTAGGGCCATCCCAAATGAGTAAGAAAATTAAGAACAACCTTTTTTGCACTTTTTGAAGGACCGTACCCGATATTAATGGCAGTTTCCATCTTATCTCCGGTCAGAACCCATATCTTTATGCCTGCTTGAGCAAGTTTATCAATGCATTCTGGAACCTAGTAAAAGTAGATAAATAAGAATGAATTCCATGATGATGCTCTAAATTCAGAAATGTTTCTTCACTCTTAGTCAAGTTATAGAACCTCACCCCAGGTTGAAGCTTGTCCTCAACTGCAGTTGCACCAAGAAGAATTAAATCTTTTTCAATCGTTTCTGTCACATCATCAATCAAAGCTTCACGATCAGCACTGACTGAATTTTTCGCCTCTAAAAACTTTTCATTGAAAATCTTATATTCTTCCTCGCTGAGTACTCTATAGGCCAGTATCAAAGTTCTCAATCCTGCATCAGCATACTCATTAACGTGTTCCCTAGTTTCCTCTTCAAACTCCCTACCGGTTTTTGCAAGCCTTTCAAACATTACACTGCAAGATACCAGAGCTAGTGTCAACATTGAACATTGAATGAAAGATTAATTACTATTTGATGAAAAGAATAGATAAGATTTAGATGGTGAAAATGATAGAAAGAAAATGTATACTGACCTGTCAGCACCTTTAGAGAGCAATAAGAGCTTCCCTTCTTCATCCTTTACTATAACAGACATCCGTTTCCTAGTACTGTTGAATTCTAAAACATTTAGAAGAGTATATGACCTGCAAGAAGGGAGTAGCCTTTAGAATGCACTACTGTCAAGTGAGATGGACTTAAAGGCAACTGAAAATTCTTCAATAGAATGTTGAACAGTCACTCAAAAAAAAACAATTATAACTCCACAAACTATAAAAATAAGCAAATATCTACACCCCAAAAACAAGTGTAGGAATTTGTATGATTATGCCTTCAGTTTTGTTTTAAATCACTATTTTATGCAAAGAGGGATTGGTCTCCTAGGGATATTATAAAGCTCATGGAGAAAACATCAGAGGCAGGAACACTTTTCAGCTTAAGTAAGGTAATATTCCACCAATATTTTCCGAGAAAGAAATGTGGAAATACTGACCTCTCTGTTTTCTTGCCTGTTGAAGGATCCAACTCATTCACTGAAACTGTGGTTTGTGTTCTTCTGAAGAACTCAAATCCAATTTCTCGTGCTGCAATCACAAAAGCTGCTTCATCTGGTGACTCAGCTTCATAAGTAATCTTTCCTGTGTCCTCATCTACTTCAGGTATAGCAGTATGACAAACTGCCAGCAAACGAAAAAATTTCTGTATGACATCCGCATGGGGTTCATCCTGCCAATTGCCATCCATTATCCGCTCATCATCAAAATTGAAGCCTTTAATGGATGAACCTTTTCCCTCAGGAGATTCCTCGACAACATCCTTTCCATTTACAAGCAAAGGAGATCCATTTCTTTTTGCCATTGCCCTTTCCACCTCTGTTACACCCCGACCATAAGCAGTCCCAGCCACAGAGCACTTGATGAATTCCATTGAGTTGCATGTCAATGTGCCTGTCTTATCGGAAAGGATGGTATCCACTTGGCCAAGTTCTTCATTCAAATTCGAGGTGCGTGCATGGGCAGGTTTGTCAGTTTCCTCATAATACATGTTAATGTCTTGATTGATGAACATGCTCTGCAGAACTTTCACAATTTCTATAGACACATACAAGGAGATTGGAATCAAGTAGCTGTACAACATTATGGCCGTCAAGAAGTGATATACAGCAGCAGCAGGAGCCCTCTTCGGATCAAAGAAGATTTTGGCATTGTCTGGTCGCAGATACCATCTGTTGTGCACACGAGAGTCCCTTTTGGTTACAATGCCGAAGTAAATTGACCCCACGAGAGCCATTGTGAACAATACAGCAAACAAGAAGTAGATGATCTTGTCCATTTTCTTCTCAATTTTGCTTCGCTTTGAAGGGGGGTCAGTGGAGTTCTGGATGACCTTTGTGTCATGACCAGTAAAGATAACAGCCCCATAAATGTGGTCAGTATTTCGCAGTTTTGAATCTCTTAGCAATAACTGCTGAGGAGAAAGAGGATGTTGTTGCTCTTCATATTCCATACTTCCAACAAAAGCATACAAATTAGCATTTGGATCCTCACATTTTACAAGGGCTTTGAAATTTTTATAGTCTGCATCTTCACCCAAGGATGAAGTGACCTCTAATGACTGTTTAAGCTTCAAATTTGTCTCACCGTCAAGATTCATTGTCTCAACATAGCAGATGGCATCGTCATAACTGGATGAAAGTAAAAGGAGGTCTGCTGGAAAGAATTCATCTTTCTCTACTTTAACTATATCACCAACTCTAAGATTTTTCCATTCTATAGGCTCAAAACGTCCATCACCAGCATGCACTTTAACTTTTCGGTTATTGACTTCCAGATCCTAAGAAAAAAGGTTTACACACAACATGAGACGGTTGATCATAGCAGTCAATCGAAAAACTTTAACCAGGAACTATTGACAAGGCCTAAATTTTGACCGCTAAACTACTAATTAGAAATGCAAGGTAAAGAGACAATTAGCTGCAAATTCAAGAAAAAGCCAAAAATGTTTGCAATTTCCCCAAAAGATGAAGAAATAAAATAAGCTACTAATATTTCCAGATAAGTACTGAACTGCAGAATGAACCATGGGTCTACATAGAAGGATCTTACACATGGGAAAGGGGATATAAATCTACAAGAATTTAGGGAAACCGGAAAAAATGCCTGATTCAGAAGAAACTTCCTGCAGCAATAATCCTAATAGCATATTTTGGTATCTTTTTTGTCTGGTTAGGATATGGTAAAAATGTCGTCACTATTCCAAACTCTGGTGATTCAGAAAACTAGTACTGCAAAAAATCCTATCTATTTTCATTCTCTACAGTGCCAAAAAAAGAAAAGTCACCAAGATGAGAAATATAACAGAGGAATGAATACAAATTAATGAAATACCTGCTGTTGCCTCCGCCAGTCTTCAATACCTTCTTTAACCATGGTTGCCCCAATCACAATTATCAGAGGAATTATGGCACTGACAGCACTGTAAGGAGCCAGTGATGTGAATGACAAAATACCAGTGACAAGGAAGTAAAAATTAGCCACCCTTCTGAACTGCTCAAACAAAGCTTTAGGCAAGAAAGAGGCAACTGTATACTTTGTACTCCTGACATAGTTCCCAGGATAATTCCTCAAACCAGCCTCAAAACTGCCTGGTTCATTGCAATATACCACTCTGGAGAATCCTGGGCCGCCAATGTTCGAATGGTCTTCTTTGAATCCAGCTTTACCACATCTAAATGTATAGATCTTGCTGAAATGTAGTTTCTTCCTTTTACCACCTCTGTTCCTTTCTTTTGGTGCCATTAGATTTGCTTCGAACTAACACCTCCAATCTTGAAATACCAAGGAATCAGCCTCTCAGAACAATGATTTGGAACTAGTACTGAAAACCAGCCTTCCAACAGAAATTCCCGCACCAAAAGAGGCCTCAAAATTGCAACTTTCTTACAAGCCACTGATGGAATAAACTAATAATATGACAAAAAGAACAGAACCCAAAAAAATGGCCTTTTTAACGCAAAGAGCTCAGAAACCCAGGCGCCAAAACAAAAAAATCAAAGAATAAACAAAAACCCAACTGGTGAAAAGCAGTAAACTTCAACTGAAGGTTGAAGAAGTTAAAAAAAATCAGAGCTTGAAGTTACAAGAACAAACAGAATGGTGAGGCTATAAGCATATACAGGAAAAGGGTGCCAATGTAGAAAACCAAAATCTGTGAAACCAGTTCAGATATTTCAACCTCCAAAAAAAAACTCCAAAAAACCAAGTCTAAGCTTAGAATATAAATGATCCCAGAAGCCAAAGGAGTGACCAACAAATATGACTTAAGCTAATTGGTTGTAATAAAATTCCAAAGGGAAGACTATGTATTTTAATTAAATGGGACAGAGGAGGTGGGTAGAAGAAGAAGAAGAAGAAGAAAGAACCAGGCAATGTGAGGAAGAATTAAAGAAATGTTCTTTGTATTTTGATTATTCACTCAGCCCAAATGGTTTGAACATTGACTTGGATCTCTTCAGTCTTCCCTTTCCTTTCCCTCCTCTCCTCTTCTTCTATGGTCTTTTTCCTCTCTCTCTTTCATGGCTTTGACTTTGCAGCCGTTGGATTGAATGATTGAAGACACGCATTTTGGCTCAAAGAAACTTTCAAAAACTCCAGCCCAGCTACTATTCAATTATAGGAAAAAATTAAAAATTTTGAAACAAAATTAAGACCCTTTTTAATATTCTTCATGAAATTAACAAAATCATTGAAAAATATTATATTAAGGATCAAAAACAAGATGGGATTTTTTTTTTCTAAACAAAAAAAAAAGGAAGAAGAAATGGATTTCTGGATTATAATATGGTTGGAGATTGATGAGGTTAGATCATAGATGCTGAGGTTTTTTTAAATCAGTTGTTTTGTAATTTTGTTTTCGTCTGCAATGATGTCATTGAGACTTGGGGGGGGAGATGAAACAAATAATTTTCGCGGGAAGGTTCTTCTTAATTATGGGGTAAAACTTGAGGAATTTATGGCCATTTCTTTTTTTAATCTTTTTGGTCTTCTCTGTAAAAACACAGAGAAGACCGATTGAAAGGTAAACATTTCCAGATTTGTAGATGGATTTTCGTGTATTTGACTTTCAATCTTTGTGTGTGTATTTTAGGTGTATTTGTAAGTGTTATTCTAGATGAAAAAAATTGGGCTATATTCAATAAATTATTTTCTTAGGGAAAAAAAAAATGACAACTTGGTGAATAAGATATTCTAGTAAGATGCGACAAGATGGCGGGGAAAGTGTACACATGTGAGAGATTAGTCAAAAACTTTACAGTGATGATAATAACCCTAGGTAAATAAATTTATTATCACAAGATATACATATTTAATATTGAGAATTATTTTTTCGATTTCAAAATAATAATATAACAAACATTACAATCATTTTAAGACGTCGTTAACCACAAAATTTTCTTCTATCATTTACATTACAAAATTACATTGTATTATTGATATTACACTATTCTACAAAATAGCAAGTCACATCTATGATATATGTAAAATTTATCGACGTTGATAATTGAAAGCCTTTCGCATAAATCAAAATTGAATGACAATAGACTACTACTAGACCGATGCAGGGTAAAGTGCTTTAAAAGAAAAAAGATGGGAAAAGAAAGTAATGCTAAAGGGTATGAATGACAGGGCATTTTCAATTTTCTAAAAATAATTATCACCAACATAAATAATTGAATATAGAGCCATATCGATGAATAATTTTTTTTTAAAAAAAAAACAGTTACATTTAAAACATAAATTACCATGAATCCACTATATTCATCCTTAATGAATATTATTGTGTTACTAAATGAATCGAGTTTATTTTATTATTTCGGTTCAATAAATAATGTATGTTCTTTTAACAGAAAGAGTATTATATGTGGAAGTATTCAAGCATGGCTGTTTGCATAAATTCGTTCAAATTAATGTTATTCTGAAAAAACAGAGAATTTTCATTTTGCCTTGGGCCTATAAGTTCCCTAAATTAATTAATTTTTTTTTTAACTTAAGCATACTTTTAAAAATAGTACGCACAACACGGCTAAGATCCAAATGTCAAACTCATAGATGCTTTGTATATCAATGGTATGCTTTATGAAGGCGTGGCTGAAATCGACTGTTTTCTGAAAGAAAGGTTCAAAATTGCTAACTTTACTACTAAATATTTACTAATACTATTTTCTGCCAGAATAGCTGCTTGGTTATAATTTATAAATGTAGACTTTGTATATAACTGGCTGTTTAGAAAATGGGAAAGCTTTGATAATTTTGGGGTTTGTTTTACATTTAGCCGTGTTCATGAACTAGTTATGATAAGATGGTTGCATTTTGAGTTAACCGTGATTCACAAGTTTTTTTAGGAAATTGATTTTTGAACATTAGTTGTAAATGGAGTACGATTTAAAATAAATTCCGTTGTTTCTAACAAGTAAAGAAATCGATTTTTTCAAACCCAAAAAGATTCTTGATTGTTGCACCAAAGATAAGATTACTTAAGTTAATATTCAACAAAATTCATCATAAACTATTTTTTTTGGAACAGAATAAAATGTAATAAAGAATATAACGATAAATTATTGTATTATACAACAGATAAAACTTATGTACGGTGTGTATAACTTTTAGTATATTTTTTGACCAGTCAAGATATGCACTTCTTCATTGATGTATTGTAGTTTTACCACCATTAATGGATGAGGCTTGACATTTGTGGTTCTCACTTCCGAGTTCTCGCAATTATGTGGAACAAGAAACGAAATGGACTTTTGCCAAACAATCTTTATATCTGAAATTCTGAATGGGGTAAGTTTGGCTAATATAGAAATGGCGAGGTGGTTGGGGGAATTGATATTTGCCATCATAAATGGAAATTCGATGGGAAAATATAGGAAGATAATGTTAAAAGTAGTGATAGTAGCAGGAGTATTTAATTAATTAGGTATACATCTTGACAAATATGACACAGTGTTTCCTCTAGAACAGGAAAAAAAAATATTATTGCGGGGTTTGTCTCTTACGTTAAAATTGGTAGGTTAGGTTATATTAACTATTTTATGCCATCATTAATTAAAAGTCAGTGATATATGTTTTCACTGCGTTGTGAAATTAGGGGAAAATTTCTCCTCGAATTAAAAAGTTTTATTCCCGCGTGAAGAACATAGAAAAGGCACAAACTTGGTTCTTGTTTAGACGTCAGTTTCGTTTTCATTGTTCGACTTGAATGTGAAAAGTATTTTAAGTAGAAAATACAGTGGTAGATGAAAAAATTGTTTGGATGGTATCTTTAGTAAAAAGTTGTTTTCTATTCAAATATCAAGTACGAAAAATATCACTAAATCACTGTAAAAAAAAGAGTTTAAAAAATGATTACTAAATAATGGATAAAAAATGTACAAAGTTTTTGGATTTAGTCACTGACTAATTTTTAGTTCCAAAAATGATCACTACACTAACAAAATGTTACAAGTTTGATTTTAAAATGTAAATAAAAAAGTTGTTTGGACGGTTTTTTGTTTTGCATTGAATTTTGTGTTTAAGAGATAAAATAAGTTGAAAATGCAAAATGAGTTGATGGGAAGACAAGTTGACTTCTAGAAACCGTTTTCTTTTCCTTTTTATTTATTTATTTGGTAAAAAAGTTTAGCAAATATTTTGACGAATATAACATAAGAATGTTCATAAAGTCATTGGATTGTAATTTTCACCTGTGTAAAATTTAACATAACTTATTATAGATTATTGAGATCGGACTATAAAATTTTTTCTAGAAATCATTGTTGCGTAGAATTTCATCCGAGAGAGGGGGAGAGAGAGAGAGAGTTAAAATTCAAAAGTCGAAAAAGAAAATAAATTTGGTTGCTAAAGACAATTTATTTAACGACGAGCCCAAATGATGCCGATGTTTTTGGAGTACGACTTACGAACGTGAGTCGTACGGTATCCAAAAAAATTTCTGCAATTTTTATCTTTAAATATCCAAAAAGGACTTTGTCAGACACCAATAAATAGAAAATTCCAAAAAGGGTTTTCCAATAAACAGAGTAGTACAAGTAAAAAAAAAAGTAGAGTTAAATTACGGGACCCCATGTGGTTTAAGAAAACCACCGAATATCTTCTTAAATTAAAAAAAGTTTGACTAAAAAATAATGGAGAAAAAAAAAATTTACAAACATCCGTCTTGATATTTTGAAGAGAGTAAGTCAACTGTGCACAACATGTACAACGAGTTAAAAATATCATATTTGAATTTTCAAGTTTTTTTTTCTCTATATTTAATTTTTTTTAAAAAAAAAAAGTTTGAATTTTTTGAATAAGGTCAAAAATACTACTATGTAGTAATTGACGAATCAAGGGAGTCGACTGTAACATATTATAAATGATGAAGGTAAATTGTTAATTTCTCATAACTTTCGAGGGGGTTCACTGGAATTAACTAGGAATTATGTTTTGCCAGTCAAGGGTCAATGGGTGCATACGGACATATATGATGACTTGTCACGTGACCTTATAGAAGTCGCACATTTAAATGATGTAACAATGTAGCAGCAGCACAGTCCATACGTGTCCAACTCTGAACTATAACTGCTAATCTTCCAAGCCCCTACAGGCCTACACAGTACAAAGGCATCTTCTTTTATTACTTAAAAAAAAAAAAAAAAAAAACTTATTCAACAGTTACTATCCTACAACTATATTCTAGTTTGTACTAGCCTACAACGTTGGTAACTCCAAATTAAATCCATCTAAAGAAGAAACCAAACCCTAACCCTAAAAAAACATTTGTAGAAATGAAAACCCAACGCGGCAATGCCGGTTGCTAGTGACTGTCTTTAGGTGTCTTTTTTTCTTTGTGTTTTTTTTTTTTTGTGGCGTGTGTATATATATACTTTAATTAATTTTGGATACAGTTTACCAAAAGATGGAGAGGGAGAAGTGATACATTTGTCGTGAGCACAAGAATGTATCGAGTCATACTATATAAATGTGAATTTAGCTATATTTGATTTGTTCTTTAGTCTTTTATCTCTGCGTTGATGTCATTTGTCAAGAAATTAACTGAAAACTTCTTGACATTTCCCAAATAAGTACTTACACTGAATATTTTTACAGTGGGGATATTTTATTTGTTACGTAAACATATATAATAATTCAATAAACACACACCTAGAATTTTTATTTTTATTTTTTTTATGGGGAACGAATGGAATATATCCACTTATTTGTTGGATTCTCGGTGTTCTCATTTCTTTGTTTTGATTATTCCTTAACTTCCGTGTGGTTTTGTGTCTTTCTTTTGGCGTGGTTGAGAAGGTCGAAGGCGCGTTTAATTTTGTCTTTCTTCTTCACTTAATTTTGGTTCCTACAAATGGCTTATATGGAAACCTAACCAATTTTCTAAAACTATTTCTGCCTCTATTATTTAAAACATAGTTGCCATTTTTTCTTGGACAAAAGAAATGTCGCCTTCTCGAGCCACCAATATGGATCTACCTCTGGCGTTTGGCAAACACTCAATAAATGTTTGAAACCAACACCAACCAAGTTTTTTCTCTTGACTCGGTAACTAGCATATGTCTCCAGTTGTTTTGTTTCCTTCCGTCTAAGAATAGATGCATGTCATGTTTATTATGACTTACTTAGAAAATAAACAGAATAATCATTTAAAAACGAAAAAAATATCACGTATAATATGATTAGTTAAAATTTGTAGGGGTTGAAAAATAAAAGGATGAAACCCTTTGACGGTTGACACGTTGAATTAAGGAGTAGGCCTGCTTCTGGATAAACAAATGCACACGCCCAGTTCCAAAATCTGAACCCGGCTAATATATGTATATCACATCGACTTTTCTGATCGATGACCAACTCCGGCCTCTTTGAAGAATTTATGGCGGAAATTCACACCGCGATTTCCACTGTGTTTGTATCGGTCGTTGTTATGATCAACACATTACAAACCTTTTTCAAAGAAATTTAAATAAAACTGTGCAATTCCATCACAAAAAGGGGTAAACAAAGACTATGCCATCAAGGATCATTTCCTTAATAACACAATATATAGATTTGAGAAGAATGCATTTCTTTTTACAATAAAAATTTAGTTGAAGAGGCGTGAATGGGAGTGCAAGCGTTAATGAAA